TCTAAAACCTTTAATTATTTCATCTGCCATCCCTTTACCTTTCCCCAGTCCCGACGAACTTCCTTTGGCGTAGTCGGAAGCGCCTAATCCGACGTTCGGTTGCTTTCCTGAACAGACCCGACTGGACCGACCTTTTGGAGATTGAGTGGCTGCTCCTTGCTCGTTAGTCGTTTGTTCTGTAAAGACTCTAATAGACTGATCTCTTGCCAAGTGGTCGGCTGCTTTTTGTTCGTCGGTTAGTCGTTTTGCTATAGGAACTCGTTTCCCATACTTTGCAGCATACCTGCGTTTGGCATTGCGAATCTGTGTACGATTCATACCTGGGAACCGAGGATCTATATCAACTGGTAAAGGCTTTTTGTTTCGAGCCCAATTGCTCCCGACCGACCCTGTTTTTCTGGTCGGGTGATCACGTACCAAAACCTTTTCTTTCACCTCCACATTAAACGAACCGTCTGGATGGTCCCACTTTTCAGCAACTGGCTTCTCACAAACTTTGAGTCGTTCTTCCGGTCGGCTGCTGTTTGGCCGACTTCCCTTTTTTGTTTCGGGGCTTGGCTGGGTTCGTTCCCCTTTTTGTCCATCGTTGGCCGAACTTTTCCTTGTTTCCGAACTTGGTTGGATGTCAACCATTGCCGTTGTTACATTCGGAAACGGTTGCTGGTCTACACCTAGAGTGATGTATTTGAGCCGACCTGTCTTGATGGCCTTTTGAATTTCCTTCCTAAAATGAGTACACTGACTTGTAGTGTGTGTGAAAGAATTATGCCACTTACAATATGGTCTCCCTTTGATTTCTTCTTTAGTGGCAAGTCTTTGCCCCTTTGGAATACGGATCTGCCCATCAGTCAGTAGGATATCAAAGATTTCATCAGCTTTCGAACTATCAAAGGTCGGTTGCTCCTTTCCTTCAGATCCTGGTACTGGCTTCAATTTAGGACATACATACGGTTTTCCAGAAAGGATTTCGGCTGCCATCTCTTCTGACTGATTAAAATCAAAGTCACATGTTTCTGTTCCCATACTCGCCATATGTTGGCCTCTATTACGCCTGTTATGCTGATCTTCCTCTCTGAACAAAGACTCTAGACGTCCTGCCTTGGATGCAAGACTTGCCAAATCCTCAACATCCAGGGCAGTGAGTGCCTTTCTTAAACGAGTATGCATATTCCGGACCACTAAATTGGTCATCTCTTTCTCACTGATTACCGTAGGACATCGTCCCTTCATCAATCGCACCCTTTCTATAAACTGTGAAGCAGATTCTTCTGGAAACTGTCTCAATTCTAGAAGATCAGTTAAAGAAACAACTGGTAAAGGATTGAAGAATCTAGCGTGAAATGCCATCTCCAGTCCTTCCCAAGTCTGAATTTGTCCAGGAGGCAGACTTACAAACCATGAAAACGCCGTTCTAGTAAGAGATAACCCAAACAGCTGTAACTTATAAAAAGGGTTATTGCCAACTTCTCCTAATTGTGCTGTGAACCGACCAACATGTTCTATGGTGGAAGATCCGTCCTCCCCTGAGAATGCATGAAAGTCGGGTGGTCGAAAATTCCTTGGGAGAGGGTGTTCATTAATGATCCTTTCTGGGAAAGGTCTCTGATATGCAGGGCGGTTAGCCATCTGAGGAGTTAATCCATACTGATCCCTTAATATATGTGCAAGCTCATCAGGATCTACATGAAAGCGTTGATGATCAGGAACATGGAACGGATCCTGCACAGGAATATGAATAGGATCATGTATATATCCTTCAGGCCTGTCCTCCCTTGTATTATTCGTCTGCGGATTGGTAACCCTTGGTCCCAGTGGAACAGTGTTGGGAAAAGTCAGAGGAGACTTTCCCCTATCCATTCGGTTGGGATTTGTGGCACTTGGAAATGTACTATCCACGAATGATGGCCCTGCGAAATTTGCCTGTGGTCTGGATGGTGATATTCCTGGTGGAGTTTGAGTGGGTTGAAGACTAACCCTTGACAGTGCTTGATCTATCATGTTCTGCATCAGATTCTGTTGCTCACGCAACATGTTCGTTTGTTGCTCACGCAACATTTGTTGAACAAAAGACCACCATTCAACTGGTGGTTGTGGGATTTCCCCGGCAGTTGGCCCAATAGGTGGTGGAACGGATTCTCCCACCGGTGCCGAAGATGATTGAGGTTGTGAACCTGCCATATGGACCCTTCCGATGATACGGCCGGATCTAAGACGTATGAAATTATCGCCGGAATTGGAATGAGCAATTTTGTCTTGCTCCCACTGTGGTCGCCAATTTGTTGATGTAATTTTTCAACAAAAATAAAGTAAAATTCAAAGATATAGAAAATATCCTTAAACTTGATTAATTAGTGCCTGAGATTAGGAATCTCTAAACACTGTATGGTACAGAAAATAAACTGGAAAATAAAAGACTGAAATTTAAAGTGGTGATCCCCAAATCTGACTTTGCTTTGTTGAAGTTGATTGAAGATGCCTTGCCAAATGATGATCCAAACCTTTAAATATTCTCTGGGAAACCGTACTGAAAACCGTCACCCGAACGGTTACAACGTCTCCTTCCCAACCGTCTTCCAACCCCTTTCATGCTGACACGTGTCCCCAGCAGACCAAAATTATCCCTATATTTCACTCTTCGAGCCGACCACAGACCTTCCGCTCTTTTGGCCCGACTTCGTCCTTCGCCCGTCCTGCTTCTTCGCCCGACCTCACTTGGGCCGACCTCCGCATCAGCCGCCCTCTGTCTTCGATCAAAGACCTCCGCGTCTGTCCGTACCTCTTCCTTGCCCGACCTTCCTCTTGACAGACCTCCGCGTATGCCCGACTTCGTCTTCTATCCGATCTACGGTTTACCCGACCTGCGGACTTCCTATCCTGATGACTTTCCGTCTTGAGGATCTCCCGACCTGAAGACCTTCCGACCTGAGGTCTTTCCGTCCTGAGGGTTTACCGACCTGAGGTCCTTCCGTCTTGAGGACCTTCCGTCTTGAGGACCTCCCGACCTGAAAACCTTCCGTCCTGAGGACCTTCCGTCTTGAGGACCTCCCGACCTGAAAACCTTCCGTCCTGAGGACCTTCCGTCTTGAGGACCTCCCGACCTGAAAACCTTCCGACCTGAGGTCTTTCCGTCTTGAGGACCTACCGACCTGAAAACCTTCCGTCCTGAGGACCTTCCGTCTTGAGGACCTCCCGACCTGAAAACCTTCCGACCTGAGGTCTTTCCGTCTTGAGGACCTACCGTCCTGAGGACTTACCGACCTGAGGTCCTTCCGTCTTGAGGACCTACCGTCCTGAGGACTTACCGACCTGAGGTCCTTCCGTCCTGAATTTTCCTTAGAAATAAATCTATTTTCCTTGATTTCCTCACGGCGTCCTTCAGCCAGTTCAATCAACTCTATTGCCAGGCTCATTCTTCTTTTTACCTTGGGCTTTTAACCTAATTCTAAATTTCGTACATAACAATTACACATACTAATAAAATTATTTTAGTTATTTTTACTTTATTCATACTATATTTTAATATAATATTAATATTTTTAAAACTCCCGTGCATAACGAGAATGAATGCATACTTACCTTTGCCTTAAAAAAAAGGGGGAGGGGGGGAGGGGGGCTACACAGTCCATTTACATATACAGCTTTCAGGGGAAAATATATTTATTTTTAGCATCCTTAAATGAACAATTAGTTTATATTATTATAATTCAATGGCTTTTGCCTTATTATTATTAGTATATACGTTTTAACAAAATTTTGTACAGCACTAACATGTTCTGATCTGATATGGAATCATATTTTTTATGATTATGTCTATTTCGATCCACCTCATCTCCAACCTTATTCCTCTTTACATATTACATGTTTTCTGTTAATTAATATTAAAATTTATTAATGAGTATAATTTCAAGACAGTATTGTTGAGTAAAATGAATTAATTTATATATAAAATTAATTAAACTAAAGAATAATAATAATAATAATAATAATAATAATAATAATAATAATAATAATAATTCAAAATTCAGATATTATATTTTGATACGCTTAAATACATTGTAGTAATATTTTTAATAAAGAAATGTCATCCAATATTAGAAGGCATGGTTAAGTGAGCCAGACAAAGACATTTGTTTCGTGAAACCATATCATTCAAATTGCATAACGGATACAAACTAATGAAGAACGTGTCTACTTTGGGTGTTTTTGTTCGGGAATTGAATTTTAAATACACTGTTCATTTCATTTTTTTTTTTTCAAAAACATCAAATTAAATACCTATTTTTTATTTTTTATATTATACTAAAAATTAATTTTACATTCAAAACATCACATCAACGTTTATTTATATCACCATACATTTTTTAGTGTTCAAATCCCAACTCAAAATCCAAACCCCCAAACAATTATAAAATGATGCTATTGTTTGGAAGTTTGGGTTTTTAGTTTGAAATTTGAATAATAAAAAATAAGAACTTAATTTATGTTTAAAAAAAAAAAAAAAAAACTTTTAATCAATAGTAAAATTTGGGTAATATCTTATAAGGGTGTGTTTGTTTGAGGGATTTGTTTGGATTTTCACTATTCATTTTATTTTTTTCCCCAAAAATATTAAATCAAATACCTATTTTTTATTTTTTTATATTATACTAAAAATCAATTTTACACTCAAAACATCACATCAACACCTATTTATATCACATCATACAATTATTCAAATTCAAAATTTTTACTATTCAAATCCCAACTTAAAATTCAAACCCTCAAACAAACACACCCTAAAAGAAAACACTACTCGATTCTATTCCATTCCCTTGACAAAATCAAATCAGAAGTAAACTCACCTAAATGCATGATATTAGAAATTGCCAAAAACGTTAGTTTGTATCAATAAATCTTGATAAATAAAACCGGGTTACGGATTATCAAACTACAAAATCGTCTACACGAAAAAGACCTTCAAGACTACGCTACAACATCTAATAGTAATCATGCTCGCTAAATGAGAGAAACTTCAAGACTATATAATAAGCTCAAAAATATGCGATATCAAGAACACAAGTCGATCAACTAACCATAGGCACCTATCCAAGGAGCCAAAACGATAAACTAAATCACGATCTTGTTAAACTAAAAATACCCGAAAGCTAAATATAGATATAAATTCTACAAAACATAGAATAACCAAGACCGCAAAGGGCAGCTCAATAAAGATTAGAGAATTCAAAAATATTCGACAGAAAACCGATCAAAACTTTCTTACCTAAATACCTCCATGAATCTATCCGTCGAAATCCTCCAATTTCTGCTTCCTGTACACTATAGATTAGCTTAATAAATTCTCATCGAAACTAAACCTCGGTCAGTTAAAAGCCAAGATATTTTGGGGCTTATACGAGCAAAGCCTCCAAGGTACTCGGAGAGAATTTCCTCGCGAAAAGATAGCACAAGGAGGAAGGTTCATCATTGTACGTGCAGCTATGGCCTTCAAACAACCTCGTCATGAATTCCTCGGATATGTCTGAGCTTCCAAAAGTTGCAGGATGAGCGCCTCCCCTCGACCAGTCGACCCAAGTGATGCTTCTGTTGGCCAAGAGATTCGGCGCTTGAATGGTCAGCATGGTCGGGAAATAGTGTTCATCCACATAACATGCGGGCTTGCAGAACTCCGAAAATAAGGGATAGAATTTTGTGTCTTGGATGATATATACCGCGAGCTTCCTGTTGATTTCGAACCATTGTGAGCCCTTGCGCCAGTCGGAAATGTTAACCTCCGGATACATGTTCTCGTTATAACGCCCTCGCCCGTACGGCCCCGGGTCGTCGAATGCATTCATGAAGCTGTACTTGGATCTTACTATGTAGTTGTAGACTGTCGTGAAGTTGTGGAGAGGGATGCAGGATTCGGATAGCAAGACAAACCGTTCGTTGGATATGTCGAGTAAGGCATTGGCTAGTAGCCTTCTTTCGGCATCACACATGCTCATTTTCCCCCACTCGGAGACCTGTAGAGAATAGAACCCCGTAACATATTAGACGCCAAAGTTCAATAGAAGCTAAAGAAATCACTTTCACCGAGCAACTTGCATATATTAGTTTATTTATTTATTTTACAGATAATGCATATTCGTAAGAAACGAAAAGATTGATACGGTGACTTGAGCTGGAGGATACCGTTTGGATTTGCTAGAGGACTCATGTATAATAAATAGTTTTAAATGCACCAATGAAAAATGATCGTTATTTTATTTTATTTTTTTGATCGGAATGTTTGTTACTGATTCAACTAGAAGTGGTGGAAGGATTAAGAAGGTCGTTATCATGTCATAGTACCTAACGAGGAAATGCTGATGTCCAACCAATCAACTTTACTAAAAGATGTAGAACTATCATAATCGAGAGCAACAAGCATTTGAAATGAAACGAATTGCGCATGCCTAAAAAACGTAAAAATTACACAAGTTTACATTCTATTACCAGACAAAGAGAAAATGAATTCCCATAAGAACTACTTCAAGAAACACAAATGAAGGCAAGAAAGATGTAAACATGCCATCACAGACAAGAAAAATACCAGAAATGGAGCTATGAGGACGTACCTGACTAGGTATATGTCTCTTGTAAAAAACAGACGAGGACCGAAAATTCGGCTCAAACGAAGGCAATGAATGAATGTAGATCGAATACAGCCCTTCATGACCCTTGAAAAACCTCTCCCAAAGTGGTGCCAAGGGCAATGGCCCTTTGGTCAAGAACATGAATGCAATCTTCGGAACCCTCTTAAACGGATATTCGTTCAGTCGAGGCACCAAAGATGCTCTCCACAACAACTCCTGATCACTCATTCTATGCATCAAATTGGATGGGGGCTTGATCCATTCCTCCATACTTAAAGCCTCCTCATCACAGGACACTAATGTAGGGTTTACAGAAGCTACAGAACTATTAATAACTCCAAAGTACCTAATCATGTAAATGCTAACAACAGAGAAGGTGAAACTCAAAGCCACAAAAAATGCAAGTAATCGAATCAGCCTTTGGGGAAGAACCCTAGCTTGCCCTGAGGCTCTGCCTACACCAATAACAGTATCTTTGCCTTCTTCCATAGGCAAACCTTTAAACCATTTTCTAAAATGTCTACCTACAGCTCTGATTCTGAGTCTCAAAATCTCCAGCATTTATAAGATTCTCTGAATTCTCCACAAAACCCCCAAAATTAAAATTCCACCAAACTATACCAATCCCTAATTCGTTAATTACATACAAATTCAACATGTGTATGCGTGAGATACAAAATTAATTAAGCAAATCGAGGGGAAAGAAACAAGTAACCGTCGCAGCCGACCTCAATTTGGGAATATAAATAATGTTCGGATCGTGCAATCGATAGACGGCGAATTCGAGGGGTTGGCAATAGCATTCCCTCCTCTACAAAACTGTCGGTTTCGAATCTCTGAATGCAGCCAAGGACTTGAAGCGGAAACTTATTGATTTCTCCGATTTGACTTTCGTCGCAAAATATCACGGTATCCAAATATTCAATCGCATCGTCACAGAAACGGGAACCTCGTATGCAGAAAAATTCCGGCAATCATTATCATCGTCAGCTGGAGATGGTGATGGCAAAGAATAAGATGCACGCCGAGTTTGAATGGGAATTAGGAGGAATTTTAATAGGGAAGGGCACACACACGAGAAGAAGATGACGAAATCTAGCGGAAATGAAAGAGATGTCTGAGTAATAAATGTTTTTTCTTTCTTTGGGTCCTGTAAAATCTGCATTGATATAAATATAAATATACCGGATGTATATTTTATTAAAATTATATTTTAAATACTGTTTCGGCTCCTAATATTTGTTTTTTTATATAAATTTTTTAATATTACTATTCTCATAGCCCGCATAATTTATTCATAATTTTTATTTTCGTTTATTTTATATAATTGGATTTTTTTATATATATATAAATATATTTTAATCACATTTTAAATTTTAAATTTTATAATTTTTTTAATTGTAATTAAACTATTTAATTATCTTAATTTATAATTATTTTTATTAATACACTTGCTAATTATATTTTATTTAAATTCCCGTAACTGCAATAATAGTCTCATATTACCTGGGACGGTGGGAGTATTATATTAATTTTTACCTTTTTATCCTATTTAATTTGTTCACTCTTTCTATTTTCGTCCCACTTAAATTGTCTTTTTCTTTTTATGGAAATATAATGGTACTATTTTTTAATCAAAATTTAAAATTCACAATATATAAATTTTATTTTAATTAAACTATTTAATTATTTTAATCTATAATTATTTTTATTATAACATAATTATTTTTACTAATACATTTCTTAATTACTTACTAATTACATAATACCTAAAACTTTTGCCTCAACTAAAGTGGATAAATTAGTTGGGACGAAGGAAGTAGTAGAAAAAACAAATATATTATATTAGTATTGTATAATATAAAAATAATGATATTTGTATAATATATTATACATTGTAAGGTATACATTATGCGTAGTATAATTATTAAATTATAAAATAATATCGGACAAAATGAAAATAAAACTCTTCTTATGAGGCATAGTGTATTACTCCCTCCGTCCCTCAAATTTACTCTATTTTTTTTTAGTCTATCCCTTAAATTTACAGTATTATTAATTTTGACAAAGTCAACAAATCAACATCTAACTATTATATTTTTTTTTACAACAAATGTCATTATATTTATTACATTCTATCTCCTCTTTTTTTTTTTTTTTTTTTAATTCATAACTTACTCTTTAAAAATACTTTCAACTACTTTTTTACTTTTATCATTTTCTCATAAAATATTATTTTTTTAAATTTTCTTACTGAATCCAAATGTTCTAATTTTTTAGGACGGAAGAAATATATTTTAACTATTTTATTCACTAAAAAATATTCATATTACTATACATACAAAAATTTACAAAAATGTATAATTAATAAAATTCAAAATGCAATTAAATATATAATTACCTTTTTTTAAAAAAAATGTAATAAAATTCAAAATAAAATTAAAATATATAATTATTTTTTAAAAAAAAATTATGGGGAACAATGGAAGAAAATTGTCACTTTATATGAAAAAAGTAGAAAATATACTCCTATTTAATATTAATAGAAATTTATAAAATACTAAAATTTTATATAATAGATAATAATGTATATATTTTACATACAAAGTAATGTAAACTGATTTTCTTTAATAAATTTAAACAAAATTGAAAAGTGAGTTTTGTATCAATTTAAAATATCATTGTTATTATGTTTCATTTCAATTTTTTAAAAAGTAATTTTATATTAATATTAAAATATTTTTAATTTATATTTAAATTACAAATATACCATTTTATACACAAAGCTACCGACCGCATCATCCACCTTCGGGTTCCGTTAGTCTCTCCATAATCGATGTTGTCTTCACTGCGTTTTAAATGTAATAGTTTTTTGTTTTGATTTTGAATAGGAAAATTTTGAATTAAAATAATTGTTTAATATAATATAGATGTATTGATATAATATTTTGAATGTAAAATTAAATTTTAATGTAATAAAAAAATGCATATTTAATTTAATATTTTTGGAGATTTTTTTTTTAAATATTAAAATCAAAAATAAAATCCCTCAAAAGTAAACAAAACCTATCTTTTTAATCACAATTTCATTTTGGTTCCAAAACAATATTATTTCATAGTATTCAAATAACTTACTCACAAAACTGTCTACTTCTGTAAACTCCACTTATTCCAGAATTCCACAAAAAATTGTAACAAAATATATTAAAAGTTTTTTTAAAAAAAAATTGAGAAGGCAAAAATTAGAATATTGATATCTTTAGATACAAAATTGTGTTATTTTTAATAAATACAAAAATTTGTACAAATTATATTTAATTTGGATATAAAGCGAGTTCTATTCTAAATAAGTTCTTTGATTCTCCTTCCGGGTTGATTTGTTTTTCAACTTGGTTTTCGATGACTTCTTTGATCCGAAAAGATTTGGTCTTCGGTTTGATTTTTCCGGACTTCGGAGTGCTTTGGCCTCCGTGCAGACGATTTGATCGTCAGCTTTGGATTTGATGTTCTCTTTGGACGATTGGACGATCCGAGACTTTGATATTTGATTTGGTTTTGCCGCCTTTTAGAGAGTTTTGGTATCTGTGTATGCAATTTAATCATTAGCTTTGAATTTGATGTATTCTTTAGACGATTCGCGACTTTGATCTATGGTTTGACTTTGCCGTCTTTTAGAGAGCTTCGGTCTCCGTGAGAACGATTTGATCATCGGCTATGGATTTGAAATCTTATTTAAACGATCCGAGGCTTTGATATTTGCTTTATATTTTGCCGCCTTTAAGAGGGCTTTAGTCTCGTGTGGACGATTTGATTGTCGGCTTTGAATTTGATGTCTTCTTTAAACGATCTGAGGCTTTGATCTTTGGTTTAACTTTGTGGCCTTTTGGAGAGCTTGGGTCTCAGTGTGGGCAATTTGATCATCGACTTTGAATTTGATGTATTTTTTGGACGATCCGAAACTTTGATATTTGATTTGGCTTTGCCGCTTTTCGGAGGACTTTGGTCTCCGTGCGGACGATTTGATCATCAGCTTTAAATTTGAAGTTTTCTTTGGACGATCCGCGGCTTTGATCTTTGGTTTGTCTTTGCCGCCTTTTGGAGAGCTTTGGTCTCCGTGTGGGCAATTCGATCATCGGCGTTGGATTTGATGTCTTTTTTGGACGATCCGAGACTTTGATTTTTGATTTGACTTTGCCGGATTTTGGAGTGTTTTGGTCTTCGTGTAGGCGATTTGATCGTCGGTTTTTGATTTGATATTCTTTGGACGATCTGTGGCTTTGATCTTTGGTTTGCCTTTTCCACTTTTTGGAGAGCTTCGGTCTCCGTGTGGTCAATTTGATCGTCGGCTTTGGATTTGATGTCTTCTTTAGACGATCCGCGGCTTTGATCTCTGAGAAAATGAATTTAGTGCTCCATAACACTTTTGGTGGAGTATCCCTTTAACTTTTGGATCGAAGAGGACCGAGTTGATGCTTTGGTGAAGAACACGATGAACATCTTGAAGCTTTAAGAGAACTTTGAAGACCTTCTCTTGGCTTTGACGAGTTCTTCAACGGTTTTGAGAGAACTTTGAAGACATTCCCTTGACTTTGACGAATTCTTCAACGACTCTAAGAGTTTTGATCCTTCCTCCGGCTCGGAGATACGTCGAAGAATGTTAACTCCATCTATTCGTCAATCAATATTGGATCATTTGTCGAAATCAATGACTTTCGACGAAAAACGGTTCGAATGACACGAAGAACATGAAGAACAATACAAATAGGGTGTAGAGACTTACCCCTTTACTTGAATCCTCGATGTAACTTTGGTGTGTCAAATGAATTGACCATGACTCCTATTTATAGGGGATGGGTGACCTCGGCTTCCTTTTAGAATGATGTCACGTGGCGCGTCCTGATTGACCATAGGAAGATTTTATAATATTTTATTTTCTATCAGATGCCGTTTTTCATTCTTGACGGATTTGATTGCGCGCCTTCCTTCCTCCTTAATATCTTTATATCATTGCATTTTTTTTCGGAAGATCTTAATTTATATACTTCATTTATTGACAAGATTAATTTATTTTGCTGTCAAATTTATTATGACTCTATTTTATGTACGTAATATTTGTACTATATCTCTCATTTTGAACAGATTTTTGCATTAATTGTTGATATTTATTGTATAAAAATTAACATACGTATATAATTAAATACCATATATTTATTTTATTAAAATTTTATTTTTTTCTAAAATATATGATATTTATAGTGTCTACAATATCAAATATATATAGATAAATTATATTTATCTCAAAAAATTAATACTTAATATAAAATATTGTTTTTTATGTTATCGATATAATTTTATATAATGTTTTAAAATATCTTATATTAAAATATTAGACAAATGTAAATGTAAACTATTATTTCCTCCATTGTATTTTTTATGTCCAATTTTTCTATGATTATAAATAAAAAAAATATAATTAATAAATAATTAAAAAATATATTAAAAAAATAATAATTATATATTATAAATAGTTATAAATTAAAATTAAAATAATTATTAATTTAGTTGGAATTTTAAAAGTTAATTATATATAAAATTTAAAATAAGATTAAAATATATAATTATTTTTAAAATAAAATAAAATAAAAAATAATATAAAAAGATGTAATATGTATGTATATATGTTATTTTGAGAAATATATCTAATTTTTTTAGAAACAAATACGGTGCGTGTATTTTGTAAAAATTTAAAAAAAAAGTTTTTTTTTATATGAAATACGAAAATTGTATGAAAATATAAAAATAAACGAATGTGTATTAATATTTTTAAAAGAAAGTAGATTGGAGTTTGAGTTGAGATTTAAATAGTAAAAATTTTAAATTACAATAATTGTATGATGTGATATAAATATATGTTAATATGATATTTTGAATATGAAAAATAAAAAATAAATATTTAATTTAATATTTTGTATAAAAAAAATGAGATGATATTTTATTTAAAATCGCTTACACACCCCAATTATTCCGAGAGCCGGAGGAAGTTTAATAAAATAATAATAATAATTTTAATTATTATCTTCTCAACAGCGGGCCCTACAAACCTAAGTTGGACAACCTTGCATTGCACAAACATAAATAAAACACAATATCCGGTCCAGAATTCGTCCCAACTCCCACCAATCAACGGCCAGATCTTTATTACGTGTCCAATATTTCCGTATCTTTTCTGATTTAGTTTTTATCAAACCGATGTGACCCTCTCTTATTTTATTTTTATTATTATTATTTAAAAAATATTAATGTATAAAAACATCCACAATGCTATCGCTTTTATTAATTGAAAACAACAATTAAAATATAAATATTCCTCTTTACAGTATTACTTTAACTTATCTAAATGTTTATTTATTTATTTATTATTATTATTTTTTATTACATGTTCAAACATATGTGTAATGTGTTTGGTTGTATTTTTAATAATGTTAACAGCAGCAGGTGGGGCGGTAAGAAAAAATATCGAACACACATGACGAAGGTGAAAAAAAACTGCATACTTCTTCCTTCGTTTCGTGCAGTTAGAAAGTGTACATATTTTTATTTTGATACGTTTAATTATAAAATAAATATTTTTTTAAATACTTTATTTTTTTTCCACAAATACTTTTATTTTATATTACATCATTATTTTTACACAAAAAAAAGTAAAGATAAAAATATCATTACACTATTTTTAACTATCTATTATAATTAAAATACTACTCCCTCCTTCCCACATATCATATCCACGTTGTTGTTTCTATCCGTCCCATATACTATGTCATTTTCCTTTTTTGGAAAATGATTACATACTTTAATTTTATTTTAAACTTTTTAATTTTATTTTTTTTAAAAAAATTTAATTAAATTAATTAGTTATCTTAATCTTAATTTATAATTATTTATATTATCGGATAATTATTTTCACTAATATATTTTTAATTATCTACTAATACACTCTTCTTAAAATACTGTATCTACTGCAACATACACGGGTACGTGGGACGAAGATAGTATTATTTTTAAATATTCAAAAGTAAATGTATACTTTGTGTATATAGACAGAAGGAGTATTTATGATTTAATTCAATGGTGTAAAAATGGCAAGCAAATATTAAGGGTTATTTATTTATTTATTTTTTAAAAAAATTAAATAATATATATGTATAATTATTTATTATATAAATCTAACTTTTTAATAAAAATCAAACCTAACAGTAAAAAGGTTTAAAACATAGACCAAACAAATCCAATTGTTTTTGTTTGGGGATTTTTATTTTTTTTTATTTTTATTATTCATTTAATTAATTTCTTCCCGTCCCGTCTGCAACCAAATTATCTATTTTAGGGTGTGGCTTTTTTTTTTTTTTTTTCCAAAATATCTAATATATTTTTTTCAAAAAATTAATTTATATTACATACAATTTTTATGTATGGTATGATAATTCTATGAAAATTATAAAATATATTATTTTAAATTAAATAATTAATTTTTATATATTATGTATAAAGTATTTGAATTTTTTTTAATTTTTTTTATTTTATTTACTTTTTGTAATAAATATTTAAAATTTGTTTGACTTTTATATAAAATATTTTATTTTTTATTACTATTTTCTAAGAACCGCAATTTTAAAAATACTACTGAGAGAACATAATGATCTTTTTTATTTGAAATCAAGATAAAATTTATCTATATATAAAGGTGCACTAGTTTAGAGGTTTAGATTTTGAGTTAATTTTTAAATAATAAATTTTTTAAACTAATGCGATATAAAGTATTTATATTTTAAATATAAAATTAATTTTTAATATAATATAAAAATAAAAAAATATTTAATTTAGTATTTTTTTTTAAAAAAAAGTTAATAAATAATAAATTTTTGAAAATACAAAGAACACAATTATAGTGTTTATACGTTGGTTTATTATTTTTATTTTTTAGGTTAGGCTGTGTAGTATGAGGTCTGTTCTATCCAAATGTTGGCCCCACAAAGACCACCACTTTTTGCCCTTTCGCTCTTTTCCCGTTCTTACTCACCATCCCATCCGTACTCTCCAATCTATCTTCATTTCCATTTCTCTCGCCTTTCCCTTTTTGGCCGCAGATTTTCTGCAAACCCCCTTGCCTCCCTTCCCTTTCCTTGTCGTCTTCGCTACTTAATCGGCGGCTGTTCCTTGTCGGTAGTTGGTTTTTTATTTTGCGCAAAGGAGGATCGGATCGGATCGAATCCGACCGGTTTTGCTTTGGAAATTGGGTTTGGTGTATTTTGTTCGATTACGGAAGGCGGTGCTTCTGCTGCTCTGATTGCGTATGGAAATCAAACTTGCCGTTGCTATTTGTATGTGTTTCTTAATTGGTAGAGACACTTTTTATTCGGGAGGTGTCGTTCCGTGATTTTCGCGTGTAGTTAAGGGTTTTGATCTTCTTAGTCTGCGAATTTTCAGGTGCTTTTTTCCCCTCTTCTGCGACGGTTGGAGAGGATTCTGAATAACGGATAAATTGTGGAGTCAAAACCAGAAGGTGAAGGCTAAAAAGTGCTGCAACATCTGCGAGGATGAAGAGAGGGAAAGATGGGGAGAAGATTATGGAGCCTATGTTTCCTCGGCTTCATGTGAAAGATACCGAGAAGGGAGGGCCAAGAGCGCCTCCGAGAAACAAAATGGCGCTTTATGAGCAGCTAAGCATCCCTTCTCATAGATTCAGTCATGTGGTGCTTCCATGTGATGTGAAAAACACTTCCCCGGCCGATTCGGCGCCTCCGAGGAGTCAGGTGTTGTTTGAGAAGCTTTATTTCTTGATCTTGATATTCGGCATGTTTAATAAGTTTGACTTTGAGTTGAAAAATTGTGTTTGCTGGTTTTTATAGGTTTAATTTAGCTTAAGTCGATTCAACCATTTTTAGGGTATATGGTGTTTACTGTCCCGTGATTGGTCTGGTTTCGTTGTGGGTTGTTTTCGGTTGGTTGATGTCGTAAAAATGAACTAAATTAGAGCTTATAGATATTCTGTCTGGTGTGCTGAATTGTTTGTTTGTTAGTTTATAGTATTGGTAGCTCAAGGAAGAAACCCTCAACTGACTAATGCTGGTAAATTAATATAGTTTTCCTTCGAGTCCTTTAGATTATGAATTTAGTTCGAATGATGCCCATTTGTAAGGCTTGTAAGATGCCAACTCCATTTGAGAATGCATTTTGATGTGCTATTTTTATTGTTTCGAACACTTTTTTGATCTTCTTGCATCTGGAAACTGTTACTTTCAGGTTAGCGGAATTGAGAGGAGCATGTTTTTGTCTGGTCAGCTGCCTTCGAGACTACCATCTAAACAGCAAGGCAGCCAATATTCTGATTTGAGAACTCCATTAGCACAAGTGGAGAAGCGAAAGAAATTGGATGAAGATGACTATAGAGTTCCAGTTTTTGATCACTCCACATCTTGTCAGGACTTTGATAAGTTTAGTAATGACGTCAATCGGGAAAGTCTTTCGCCTTCTGATACCCATAGTTCCTCTCACTCGCAAAAGGCGCAGGAAACAGTCACGATTGAGCATGGTATGAGGCAAGAAGTCCAAAACCAGAAGGAAAATGATTCACAAGAGTTTGCGGCTGGTTGGGGTAAATCCGTTTCATATTCATCATCCATTGGGAAGTCTCAAGGTCCCAAGAAGCAAGCAATTTCTTGTTTAAGTCATGAACCTGGAAAAAAGCGTAGAAATGATATTGACAGATTAACAGAAAATGATAGTCTACAAACTGAGGTCAGTACGGATTCACGACCTTCCAATGGTGTACACATTATTGTGGAAGAAAATATGGCAGCAGTTGCCAGGAGAAATTTACAAAATTCGACGAAAGGTTTACCTTCTGGAGATTGTGATATCATCCATGATGTCAGTAATGACTCTGATTCTAATGACTTGGAGAGGGTCGACAGTGTTTCCGAAACTTCCATTTTGGATGCCGTATACCCTGTGGATATAACACCTGATGATGTCGTAGGCATAATAGGTCAGAAACACTTTTGGAAAGCCAGAAGAGCAATTGCCAAGTAAGTTCTTATCCTTAGCCCGCCGCATTTAATTTTGTTCTTTTTTAGAGGATTTAAATGGAAGTTATTTGAATCTAGTAGTTCTCCGAAAGCTCTCAATTAATGCACCAAAAGAGTCAAATGTCATGAAGATGACAGTGTAGGAGTTAGACAAGAAAAAGTAGAATAACAGGAATGTAAGGATTTAATGAAGCTGTTTGTTTTTTACCCTTCACCTATTTCGCACATGCTATTTTAACACATGCATATAAATATATATGTTTGTGGAGGTCAATGCATTTGAATTCTTTAGTAATTGTGTGGTTACTTTTTTCGAGCTTTTTTAGATGTAAATTATTGTTCCAAAATATTGTATTCCTCTAACGTGTCTGATCTTTTTTGTGGTGATGAATTGGCCGTGAACCAACCCCTATAGTGTCTCTGATTATGGTGTTAAGTATAGACTATTAATCTTCCTACATCTGCTTGGCAAGCATCAGCTTCAAAAGGCTTGTTTAAGAACTCGAACAGTTTTAGATTATTTGACGGGGCCTCAACGTTGACTGGTTGGTCAAACACAAACATTCAGAAGATTACTAGACGATGCTGGAGAGTGACCCGTGATTAGCTCACCGATGGGTTCTCGTAGCCACCAAACTAGAAGCTTGCCTGATTTTATTGATGTTGGTTTTCATTGTCATTTAAGGGCTGCGCCAAATTTTTTTCTGCAATATGAAAAAAATGTGATTTATGCATATTTAAATGGTGGGTGGGTTTACTGGTGCAGAGTCTAATTAAATCCTCAAAGTGAGGACATTTATTTCTCAGCCATCGGAGTGTGTTCGGACAGCGCATAGTCTTTTTCATTATGGTGGGTTCACGTGAGAATATACTCTTTTGATATAAGGTGAGTCCGTTAGCCATGACCACTTAATTATCCATATTCTTCGTTTTTGGGATATGCTTTTATTCTTAAATTTTCATTTATCCGGAGTAGCTTAGAGAATTTGTTGCAGATGGATTAGTGGTCTAGCATCAAGAACAGGCAAGGCTGGGGACATTACCTTGGTTGCCTGTCTGTTCGGAAAAAGCGGCGCATCTCGAAATTCTTCTAGTGAATGATATAAGAAATACGTAAAACTCACGTTGCTTTAAATTTCTGTTTCGATTCTTGTTCAAGTTCGATCCGGAAGCTGGGAGGAATTCAACTGAAATTAATTGCTGCTATAATTTTGTTCTAACTGCATATACGTTATAGCTAACTTACATATACAGGCCTAATTTTAGGCCCTCTACAGGTAATTGCATTGTACATTTCTTTCCCTTCCTCATCTGGTTTCCGTCGTGTTTAAAGTTATTTGTACTGTAAGATCGTGCTTTGAAATTGATTTCTTGTTGCTTTTCGATGCCTGGTGCCTTTTGTCTAATGACCGTCCTTTTTTGCAGTCAGCAAAGAGTCTTTGCAGTTCAAGTATTCGAGTTGCATCGATTAATCGAGGTCAGTTTTCGAACCCTCTTTTCGTAGATACTGTTTTCCGGCGTTGCTTCTGACTTAGGCGTTGGAATTAAATCAGGTTCAGAAGCTGATTGCTGCATCACCGCATCTTCTGCTTGAGGACTCCGCGTTTCTTGATCAACCTTTTAAACCTTTGCCCGAAAAGAAGACACCAGCGAAACCTCTTCGAAACCCCGTCAAGCAAAAAGACGAACCCAAGAAGCCGAAAGACAAGAACTCACCTTTCTCCTCTACTCAGAATCGAGCGCCGCCTGCTAACTGCCAACCTCAAGAAACATCTGCCATGAACGGCGACCATAATATGAATCCATGGTGTTACAGCCACCAGCCTCCGCCGCCGCAAGGGCACCAGTGGTTGGTTCCTGTGATGTCTCCTTCCGAAGGTTTGATATACAAACCGTACGCCGGACCTGGATTTTCTGGCCAAGGTTGCGGTGGCTGTGGCCCTCCCGGGTCGATTCCGATGATGGGCAACTTCTTCACTCCGGCGTATTATCAGCTACCGTCGTACCCGCACGGCTATTTCCCGCATTACCCAGTGCCGGTTATGAACACAGCTGTTTTCTCTGGGTCGTCGATCGAACAGACGAGTCGAAGGAATACCGCCGCTGCCGCCGCCGCTGCCGCCTCCGGGGCTGTTGTAGACGCCTTGGAGTCGCACGTCTCCGTGGACATCGAAGTGCAGGCAAGCACCGGAAGTAGCCCGAGCGAGAGATGGCGGGGCGCGGCGGAGGGAGGGGATGTGGTTCCGGTTTTTGTGACGTCCTCGTCGAAGCACCACGCCCCAACGACGGTTATCAGAGTTGTGCCGCACAATGCCGTGTCGGCATCGGAGTCTGCCGCGAGAATCTTCCGGGCCATCCAAGAAGGAAGAAAACAGCGTGATTGATTGTCGATCGATCGTCGATTGTTTGACCGGGTGTAAGTTGGAACTGGATCGAATGATCCTGTCCGTCCATCCATGGATCCTTCGGACTGATTTGGTGTTTGTGACGTAGTGTTGAAGAGTGTATTGTGTTGTGTATACACTACACTCGTTATATTTGTTTCTTCACTGTTTATTTTTGTGCTCAAATGCACTTTTCCTTTCGTAATCGACACATTGCAGAGCTGTTTATTGCAAGATTTCTTCTATGTTTGTGAGGTAGTGTCAAAGAGTGCTTTGTGTTGTTACACTGCACTCATTGTTTCTTCAATGTTTTTGTGCTAAAATGTACTTTTTCTTCTTTTTTATTTTTTATTTTTTTATTTTTTTATTTTTTGTCAGTGGGATCTATAGCTGTTACTCGAAAGTGCGCAACGGGTTAACCTTTGGCTGAGCGAATCATGTGTGGTAGGTGACATGAAGCGAACTTAACCTTTGGCCGAACAAACAAATCATGTGTGATAGATGACATGAGATAAACCCATGACTTCACTCAAATTCAACCCTCATACCTGAAGGCTATCCTTTAAAAGGATTGTGCTCAAATGCACTCTTTATTGTGCTAATATATATGTTCTGAGTATTATTTATAAACAGTAAATAAATTATAATATATACCAAATTCTAACGCCTTTTAATAAGGCTAAATAATATAAAATTCATAAGCAGTTTCACGAAATTGTGCAAAATTCTTCGTATTAACTCTGTTGTGCTTTTATAAATTCTACGTCTAATCGTTCGGTGGTCCTTATTAACTGTATTTGACTTTTACAATCTCAATTTTTAAATTTCTAAAACTACAAATAGTAAATATACTCAAAAAAATAGTTATTTTTTTATTTTTTTACTGTATTTTTAGACGAAAAATAAATATATTTGTAATTTTAAGAGTTTAGAAATTTAAATTTTAAAATTTATTCGCAGTTGATCTAATCAAATATCCTTGAACAAGGACCGCCGAGAGGAGTTAGACGATTAAACCACGAAACAATTTGACGCAATTTTGTACCGAGAATTTAGTAGCAATTTCGTCAAAGCAAGTATGAATTTTGTACAATTTAATCTTTTAATATAATGTAAAAATTAGAAAAGATATACTTTGAACTAAAATACTAAAAAGCTATATCTATTAAAAATATTTTGCTGAAATTAGGTTGAAAATATATACAAACAAGGGGAGCGAAGTCGTTTTGTTGTAGTTACACATTTCGTTGTAACTGCACAGCACTGGAGGAAACGAACCGGAGGCAGTTACTGCCTCTGTATAAATTGAGGCAGAAATCCAGTGGAAAACATTTCCAAAATTCTACACTCATGGCGTCCCTTCTGAAGACCGACATTCCTCTGCCCCCAGACCCTGGTATTTGCCTCTTCTCCTTCTGTTGATTGTGGAAAAATGTTTCTTCGATTGATCTCAAGCTGATTCGCAAGCTAAATTTCAGTTCGCAGTTGCTTTTGTTTTACCGATCGCGTTTTTCTTGCTGAATAACCGCTTCAGCCTAATTGATTGGCGGAGTTTATTTTGTTTAGCAGCTGATGTTAGTATCGAGTTCTGTTACTTTGTTGATTTGGTTTTTGTTCTTAAAAACTTGCGCATTCCGTGAACGAAGTAAGTGATAGTTGAGAAATGAAGTTTTACGAGTTGTTTTCTTCGTTTTCTTCATACTTATGTAACTGATGCGTTTTTTTTCGCTAAATCGGAAGTTGTTTGTTGAGTTGATGACTAATTGCTGGTCGAGGCAATTCTTGGCATTTGTAACTGCCTATCGGTTATATCATATGGCTGCACATGCATACCGAGTAGTCAAGAATCGTGGAAGCTATCGAATTAAACTTGTAGTTATACATTGATTGTGTACCTATTGAGCAATGGGTTGTGAAGCTCAACCGGTAGGTAGCTTGTTGGTAATGTAGTAGCGAGAGGAGTGCTTCTAGTCCATGTGAAAGTTCTGCTATCTGATGAAGTGAAGAGTGATTGTTTGGTTCTGTTTTCTGCTTAGATATACTTCCTACTTGTTGTTCAGCATATAAAATCATGGTTCTTTGGAGGCTGTGGAGAGAAATTTATATTTGAACTTTTGGGGGCATAGTGAATAAACTGCAATTTTGCAGAAATTGGAAAATTTTAATATGCATTATCAGCTGTGCTCTCTACTTAGTTTCTTCAGCGCCTTGCCAATTTCTGGTTATGCATTTGATTTAAGAACCTAGATCTTCCCTGACCACACTCTATATCACAACTCTCCTTGATTTTCAGGTGACAAACCCCGTGGCAACCAACCACATTTGTCTAGAGTTCCCATTCATGTTGTTACCCATTCATCTCAACTTCCTGCAGAATTCCTCCAGCCTTCAAGTGAGAAGCAGCTGGTCATAGGCTTTGACTGTGAAGGGGTTGATCTTTGTCGTGTGGGAAATCTCTGTATTATGCAGGTTTATTTAGACCCATTATTTATCTACCATAATATTATTGTTTAAAAGAAGCGAAGCTGAAGTCTTTTATGGTCTATAACATTCAGAGTCAATTAATTAAGCTGCTGTGCACTTATTGATAGTATTCTCCCGCAGCTTGCTTTTCCAGATGCAATATATCTTGTTGATGCTGTTGAGGGCGGAAAACCTCTTGTGGAAGCATGTAAGCCTGCCCTTGAGTCTAGTTACATTACCAAAGTTATTCACGACTGCAAGCGAGATAGTGAGGTCTGTTGCAATTGTTCACCCTTCACCCATAATGACATCCACAAATTATTTTGTAATTTATTTCTCGTATCTTTTATTTCTTGCAGGCGCTGTACTTTCAGTTTGGCATTAGGTTACAAAATGTTGTGGATACCCAGGTTTGTGTTTCCTTTCAGCTCTCTGTGTTGAAAAAACAAAAAAAAAGGATAGGGATAGAGAGGTCCAGGTTGCAGAAATGGGATAGAAATGCGCCTATAGAATTAACATGTTCATTTGGAAATTGATTAGTAGGGACTTAGTTGTCAGAGTAGTCTTCCAGTCTAGGGGTTGCCAGATTTCAAACACTCTCTACACTCTTTCCACTCGAAGGCAGAATCCGTGTCTTTTCTATGTCCACGTTGTCTGTGTATTGTGCCGATTTGAAATCACCTATCCTTGTCTCTCTGTATTCCCTTGGGCCTATTTAGTAAGGAAAAAGAAAAAAGCAAGGCATCATGGTAAGGTTATGAGGAGAGTTGCTATTTCTTGATGTTACATTAAAAATGTGAGATTCTTTCCCGACAGCAGTTCCTGGTCTATTTGATGATTAGCGGGCATATAACCATGATTAGACACAGTGATATTTGTAGGCAATTTTTCTCTTTGGTGGAGTATTGCTACCAGGGTGTTGCCTTTCCTTTATTCCATAGCATATAAGGCAGTTGAATGCAATTAACAACTGATAGTCTTGTTTCCTTTGTATCATGTTTATAAGCAGATTGCTTATTCTTTGATTAAGGAGCAACAAGGACGCAAAAGAGTTCCAGATGACTACATATCATTTGTTGGCCTGCTTGCTGACCCGCAATTTGGTGGTAATTAGTTTCGTTTAATATTGTTTTGGGTGAATTTTCGAACTGGAGTACTTCTTACCCTTGGTTTTTCATTAGAATAATTTTGTTACAGGTATATCATATGTAGAGAAGGAGGAGGTCCGCATTCTAATGAAGCAGGTTGGTTATGATTATTTTGTTTGATCAGAAACTTTTCGAAAAAGTATTTAGTCCAAAGCTTGATAGTACCATCCATCAGGCAACGATGTTACAAGAATAATTAAGCTGATTATAACAGCAATTTTAAGTTTGATGTGCGAAAACCCTTTCTAGAGCATAAAGCAACTTAATGTGTGCAAATGTTTTGCCTGTAACTTTATAGTGTTTTTTTTTTTTAATATATATTTCTTAATTTTCTATTTGCTATAGTTAATCCTGTGGCAGTTCTGCTACTTGGTAAAATACTGATAATTTCTACTGCTCGTAGGATCCCCGCTTTTGGACCCATAGACCAATGTCAGAGCTAATGCTTCGTGCAGCTGCAGATGATGTTCGTTTTCTTCTATTCATTTATCATAGAATGTTGGAGAAGTTAAGTGAGAGATCCATGTGGCATCTTTCTGTTCGTGGTGCGCTTTATTGTCGCTGTTTCTGCCTCAGTGATAATAATTTTGCAGATTGGCCGTCTCTGCCTCCAGTTCCTGGTATGTATTCTCTTCTGTTTTGTTAAAATTTTTGTTTCCATTATGTTTCAATTGTCCAATGGATGTCTCGATAATTATAAATAACAAATGCAAATATTATCGTGGATAGGGTAGTCAATTGAAGTAGCCAAGTCTAAACTCTTATTCCAGCTCAAATGAATTATGCTTAACATATTCTTTTGTATCTATATTTTATCATGAAAATTAAAATGTTTGTAGCAAATATATATATACATATATATATTATGAAAAATAGAAATATGCGATAATTTAGGGTCCCAATTGAGAAATAGAGTTCATATGCATGAGGGGATTCATTTTCGCTGCAGATTTTATCCTATCATTATATGCAGCCTACATTTGTTGCCTGATTTTGTAGTTATTCGACTCTGCAGCTTGTTTGGCTGATGACAAGAATCCTCCAGAGGAAGAAATTCTGTCTGTTCTTGATGTTCCCGAAGGGAAAATGGGATGTGTTATTGGTAAACGAGGAGCTAATATCTTGTTGGTAAAGGAAGCATGCAGGTATATTATTGCCTATTATGTGATTGTTGTTTCAATGATAAGTGATAGATATGTCTATAATTTTTATTAGGAAAGGAACATTCTTAATAGGCCACTTAATTTTTTTTTTCCCGAATAAAAACCCGGATTGGATTGACTTGTTATATACTTTATGGATCTTACAAGAACTTTGAGTATCATTCAAATGCTTGAAGTTTTGCTGTTTTTCTTTCTCCTAACTAAAGTTGCTCGATTTATTTACAGTGCTGACATCTTCTTCGGCGCTGATAAGGGTCCGCCAGACAAGGTCAGTCTTTTCGTCGTCGACAAGTGATGTAGTATATGACCTTGTATGAATGCTTCTTTACAAATGAGGTAATGAAACAATAATTTGGTGCAGGTGTTCATACTGGGGCCTGTGAAGCAGGTTAGAAAGGCGGAAGCGCTTATTAGGGGAAGAATGCTATCGAGGATGTACTAAAAGCGACGTCTCCTCCGTGTAAATGAAATGATCCATACCATACCATGATTTGGCTATGGAAATTGAATAAGCGGGAATGAATCAAGAATGGATCCATATCATCATCTTTGGTGTTGTATTGATTCATGTGTTTGTTGAAAAATGTTGAGAGCAGAGTTTATGACATGATTCTCCAAACTTGGGTTGGCTTATTATGGTGTGGATTGATGAGTAGGTGCAGCAGAATGTCAGACTTTACCCATCACAATTCTAGTAATATCTGAAAGCCATACCTCAGTTAACCAGTCGCTTCTTTTTTTCTTTTGTTTTCTGGGTGATGCATGGTTCCATGATTTGGATGATCTTTTTATAGATATATATATATATATATATACATATATGCTTAAAATTAAATTAAATATTAAATGTAAAATAAAATTGAATATTAAATGGAATAGAGGTTGATGGTTTTCAATTTTTTTTTAATCTATTTTTTATTTAAAAAAATATTTATTTCTATCGAATCAAATAAAGTTTAATTCATGATTTACTATTTTAAAAATACAACCAAATACAACCAAACAAATTAATTTGTTTTTCTTAGTTTTGTTTCATTTTTTAATTGCAACCACAATAATATTATTTTATAAAAATATTTCTTTTCTAACAAAATTTCATATTTATATTGATGTTTAAACTATAAATCAAAATAAGAATAGAATTAAAATCTTCTAAAAACATAATCTACTTCATATGTATTTTTATTTCTATTATGTCAATTATATTAATATATATATATATATATTTTATAATATGGGAACTTCATCCGCTCTTTTCGGTTGTGTTCTGGATAGACTGCCAACCATCTTTATGGGACCAATATTTAATGTAAAATATGGTTAATCATCATTTATTTCAAATGAAAAAGAAATTTCGATCGCTTGTTTCGACTGTAATACATAATTTATATAGTGCAATTTTTATTTTGTCGAACATAATTTATAGACAATTAAATTGCATCGAAAATTAAAAAAAAAAAAACCCAATAAACATGTCTGTCTTCAATTTTTTTTCATTAATTATAAAAACACTAGAGCATATACCAAACTTAGGGATGTCAACTAGCTGGTTCGGGACAGGTTTTGTAGGCTTTGGGACCCTCCCCACTATAAAATATTATGATTCAAGATCCATCCCGCTCTGCTTCAATCCGGCCTTAGGACCCGTCCTGCGAGTTCAGGGCCAACAACAAAAAATTATAGTTCTAAAAATAAGAACAATCAAATATTGACTATAGTGAGTCTGTCGGGAATTGTCAGGAATTATAGGAGAAAAAAATTGTAAAGATAAATTTGATTTAGAACTAATATTTTATTTTATATTTAAAGTTTTTTAAATAAATAAATAATACTCCATAATTTATATTGTATATAAATATGAATAAATTATAATAGTTATTAAAATATCCGACTTCGAATCCGGGTTCGAAGTGGAGCAGATTTATAGTAAAACTCGTAATCCATCCCAAATTCGATCAGATCTAAAACTCAAAATTTACAACGCGCCCCAAACTAAACTTATTTGATCTAAAACTCAAAATCTACAAAGCTTCCAAATTAAACTTTTTAGGCCCGAACCCGTCCTTTAAGACCGGGTCGGGGCTATTCCGCGGATTTGACATCCCTCACCAAAATCCACTAATTCCATCCGGCCGTCCAATGCAACGGGATACACACTTGATTGACTAATTAATATATACAGTATATTATAAGCACCAATTCCAATCAAGATTGAATTGAATATCGACTACGCTAAGGAATCCATAGTGTGACATTAATTGCGCGTAGCCCCTCGCGCGATATTTCTCACACGCCTCCCCGAAGCGATCCAAACTACGCCGAGGGTAATCGAAGAAAAGCTACCAACAGCGACTTCCTGTTTCTTTTCGTAACAAAAGGATCCGCATCTCGTCGATTGACGCAGGTAAGTGATATCGGTAATTGACGCGCACAGATTTGTCGGTTTTATTTTTTTTTCAGTTGAATGTTCATGTGCGCTTGTGTTGTTGGTGTTTATATCATTAACAATAGTTTGAATTTGTGGTTCAAGGCGAGGGCTGTGTCCGATTTTCTTTCAGGTTTTTAGGGTTTGATTGTTATTCCCCAGTATTGGAATTAAACCATTCTTCAAGTAATTTATCGACGATGTTTCCGCGGCTTTTCGGGAAGCCCAAGCAAGAGACGAATGCTCTTGCGACATTAGACAAATTGAACGAGGTATTCTTTTATTTGTTGATTTTTGTAAGTTGTGTGTAAAGTCAATTGGTTGTATGGAAGATCGAAGTTTTTTATATTTTAGATTGTTTTTGGATGATAATTTGAATTGCATCATTATGTTTTTTTTGGTTTGGATACGATATTGTGATTCATTTGGAGGGAAATGGGGACAAAATAGTGAGAGGATTAGAAGAAAAATAATGGGAAAACCTAAATAATAGGAAGATGCTGAAATATTAATGCATCCTTCAATAGTTATTTTCATCTTCTGCTTCATTCCTTGCATTTATTGATAAAAAATTGTCTTATTTTTGGAGTTTATGTTTTTCCCTTACACGGGACACTATATATACTACCCTTGTTTTCTTGAAATCCTTGTCTTTAGTTTGGTGCTACATGTTTCCTACTAGTGGCACCTTTATCTATCGTGAACATCTTTCAATTCCCTATGTTGAGTGGATTTAGAGTTTAGACTAATGATATAATATTCTGATACCGGATTGCGATGAACAAATAAAATTTCCTCCAGCAGGGAATAGGAAATCAGAGAAAGTAAGAAGGGATATGATGGAAAAAATTGGAGGAATTATAGAGGAGATGGTGAAAAATAGTTTAAAACAACTATACTTGTTCTGTAATTGTGCTACTAATTTCCCTTGGCCTTCCACAATTAAATTCCGTGAATCGCCTTCACTGTCAAAAGAAGATCGAGGTATCGGACTGCATAGATGTGTATTTTTGCTGCTGTGTTTAAGGGAGAATTGACTAGCCTGTACATATTTTCTGATTTTAATTTCTTGAACTCAATCAAATGAACTGAATTCTTAATGCAATTGTTGTGATTGGTTGTATCAGAATGCTCCCGTTATTCCCAAACACCACATGTGGTTCCTTTTAGTTCATTCTGTTGTGACATGGTCCATTGCTTTATAATAACTAAAAGAGTATACAAATATTAGTTGTTACTTTCTTTAACCAACTTGTCTACTTCAAATCACTCCGATGATTTGAAACTGGTGATGAAAGATTATTCTACTACCAAGAGCCTAACATATTGCTCTTTAAAATTTTAGGTCAAACAGCAGATAATAATGTTAAATCACATATCTTATCTAGTTGAAGGATTTCATAGAACACATACAAAGTTAGTGCTACATTATTCAGAGAAGAATGGCTATGGAGTTGGTACTGGTTGCTTTGTTCTAGAAGGGTTATATGATATATAACTACCATGCTTTTGCACTTTTCTATCCCTTCTTTTGTAGGAAAACCAAGTATCCCTTTTGAAAGTATAAAAATCGGTCAAATGTATAAAGTATCACCAATGAATTATCAATCCTCCTATTTTCTATTTTTCACCCACAAGTTCAAAATCCCAACAAAGCATTACAATTATTTTGGCATAAATCTTCTCTGTTAATAGTTCTTCAATACATCATTCTTGGTGCATCTGGTAGCTGACTTTGTACTTGACGTGTTCTTCAGACTCTTGAGATGCTTGAGAAAAAAGAACATGTTCTCTTGAAAAAGGCTTCTGCTGAAGTTGAAAAGGCCAAGGAGTTCACTAAAGCTAAAAATAAAAGAGGTATGCCCATTTTTTATGGAACGTTGTTGGTTGTCATCATGTCTGATTGTTTAGCTTGCCAAGTACGCATTTTGTTTTCCGTTCTGCTTTTTATAATTCCATTCTAATCAAAATAACCTAGGGTGATCTGTTTTGATGCCAAGAAACCGTTTGTGTAGGGTAATGATTAAGTGTTGGAATGGGTTTGCTATCTTCAAATCTAATAGGATTGTCTTTAAGTAATTTCTTATTACTTCAGAATACCTATATTCAACTTGATTTGTATCAATTTGGTTTTGACCTTGATCAGAAGCCATCTAATTGTCTATAATATAGAGCTTTACATGTTATTTGGCATCTGTAATTTCAAATGTTATAATTGGTTGATATTCTGCAAGCATGTTACAAGATCACAATGTGTAGTACGATAATTCAAGCATGCAGGTCTTTGCTTTTGTTCCATGTTGGTTTCAAAATATCATTCCACTTTCATCACATCTAATAGTCACATGCTCGTGTATCGTTGTATTATGAATGTGCCGGCCTAGTATTCATATTGTCACTGTGAATTGGAAGATTTTTCATGATTTTTCTCATTGTTTTAGCCACCCATTATATTGGAATAATGTATATTGAAAATCCAACAAGTTTATTAAGTTGCTTTTGCAAACTTGATAGCTGCAATACAATGTTTGAAGCGGAAAAGGCTTTACGAACAGCAAGTTGAGCAGCTTGGCAATTTCCAGCTGCGCATTCACGATCAGGTTCTTGTGATCTGTGTTTAATTACCATCTTTACCATATGACATCCTTTGTTGATGAGATTCCTTTATGACTGTATCTGCACCCCTTCTGCAGATGATAATGCTTGAGGGAGCAAAAGCTACTACTGAAACAGTCGATGCTTTGAGAACTGGTGCTGCTGCAATGAAAGCTATGCAGAAGGCAACGTAAGTAGATTTAGATTTATTAGTGTGTGCAGTTATTACATTGACAAATTATAAAAAGGAAGGAAACCACAAGAAGAAAATAGCCCAAGGTTGAATGATTGTAGAGAACTGTGGGGAATAATGGCTACATATGCTAGTTGTGACTTTATACAATTTAAGATTTAGTTGTGGTGGGACTGGTAGGAAAAGTGTTTAGCAACAACAAATTAATATAACAGCTGGAGTGAGAACAACCTAGCTGTTTGTCTTGGACTCAAAACTCAACAATGTAAATTGTAAAACCCGGTTGAAGGTTCTACAAACTTTATTTTGACATAGATTTATATTTTGGTAATTGTAAGAGTTTAGAGTGACTCCAATGTTATAGAACTTGATACTCAATTCATTAAAGCCCCACCGACCACTGAATTCAGCCTTGTGTCTTTGCACTTTTTTCTTTTTCAATTTATTCTTAAAAGAGCTTTTTGTTTTTTTTTTTTTCTCATTCTGGATGTAGTAATATTGATGATGTTGACAAGACAATGGATGAGATCAATGAGCAGACAGAGAATATGAAGCAAATACAGGAGGCACTGTCAATGCCAATTGGTGCTGCAGCCGATTTTGATGAGGTCTTCTGTAGTTTCTGGTATCTTCTCTTACAAATTTCTCAATAAATACACGTAACACGTTACTTTTCCCTTGCACAGGATGAATTGGAGGCAGAGCTTGAAGAGCTTGAAGGAGCTGAGCTCGAGGCAGACCTTCTGCGGCCTGCAACAACAGCTCCTGCTGCTCCTGCTCGAGTCCCAGCAGGAAGGCCACCGCCAGTTCATGTTGACAACGAGGATGACGAGCTTGCTGAATTGCAGAGAGAGATGGCACTTTAAGGAGGTCCTTACTCAATCCCTTTCATTAGTTTCTCCCCGTCCGTTGTTGCCTGCCTTAATTTTATGTGAAAACTTGTTATTTGGTTCTTTTAGCTACTGGAGTTTCATGAAATCTTCTATCCAAAGCTATAGAAAAAGCCGAGATTGAGATTATAGAGAACAGTAGAGAGTATATATACTAGGTATACAAAATGAGTGTAACATTTAGGGTGTGTTTGTTTGGGGGTTTCGATTTTGAGTTGGGATTTGAATAGTAAAAATTTTGAATTACAATAGTTGTATGATGGGATATAAATAGGTGTTGATGTGATATTTTGAATGTAAAATTGATTTTCAGTATAATATAGAAAATGAAAAATGTGTTCGATTTGATGTTTTTTTGAGGGAAAAAATTTGATGGATAATGGAAATTGTTTGAAGTTTTAGAAACGAACACAGCCTTAATAGTTCTTCGGGTTTTTATACGTGCCGGTGGCTCATACATTAGACAGAATATCAAGTGAACTCTGTTATATAAAGTAAGTTATAAATAGATAAAGTATTTAAAATACTTATATGCAGCATGTATGGAATATTTTGTGTTGGACAGTAACAAAAACTTGAGGGGACTGCAGAAAGAGTTGGCTATGCTTTATAATCGAAGACCATAGCACGAGATGATGTGCATTTTGGATTTGGCATTTGCAGTAGTACAGAGTCAATGATGATGTACAGATGACATTCGAGTAAGAATCTGTATTCATTTACATCGAGCATATGCACGCTATATTTCGACATGTGTTATATCCGGAATTTGGGATCTGTCTTTCTTTACACTTGCATTCACTGCTAAACATATATATATATATATATAGTGTTTTTATTTGTTATTTTTTCTGCTTTAACTGTGGGTTCGTTGTGAGAAGAAATAAGTATTTTTGTAGGGAATCTCGGTGAAAGTTGAAAATTAGTTATACTGAATCATGCAATGTCTCAACTGATATTAGTTAGTTTATATCTCAGATTTTTTTATGTTGTTCTGAGGTCAATTAATTGTATTATAACATTATACTTCTGTCATGTGAAAATGATACTATTTTTTAATTTAGTAATAGTACTATTTAGTTAACATAATGAATATCTTTGTAACTTATAATATATTACACAGGGGGTGAGCAAAATATTTGAAATTTGATTCGAACCAAACTGAAATTTAAAATTTGGTTTGGATTTTTCAGATTAAATTTTTGACAAATTTCAAATTTTCGGATCAGATTGGTATACTTAAAATCAGAACTAATTCGAAATTTGAAATATAATATTTTAATATATATTTTATTATATATATTTAATATTTTGTTAGAAAATATTATATTTTATTATAAAAAAAACTCAAAATTAATAATTTTGTTTTAATATATTTAATTTTATATATTATATATATAATAGTATAAAATAATAAAAAAATATAAAAGAAATTTAAATATTGAAAAAATAATTTAAAATAATTAGAATTTTCAAATTTTCAGTTTGTTTCGGATTTTTTAGTTCGGATTTTCGAATTTCGATTATTTCGGTTGAATTCGGATTGATTTTTTCAAAAATTTTGAATTTTCACATCGGTTCGAATTTTGGCAAAATCCGATAGAGGATAAAGTACTTCTACAAATATATATATATATATATATGTAGATATTGAGACAACAATGTATTACAGTATGTGTGTGTACATATGTATGTATGTATATACCAAATTAGCAGTGGCAACTAAGACCTGAAGAGGGCATAATGGGTCAAGATTTGGAGGGATTTCTGGTCCCTCAATTTTGTAAGAGCCGTTCTCTCAATTTTCCTTATCCACTCTTTGCTCACACAAAATTGCCTCCCGATTTCCTCGAGCGACTTGCATTGACGGTTCCCTAGTCCGAACCTCAGCACGACCACCTCCTTTTCTCTCGCCTCCAAATCATCGAGAAGCCCGTATAGGTCCTTTATCATGTGTTGCTGGATCACGCTCTCCTCCGGGGTCTGGACGCTCCTATCCGCCGTGATTTCCTAACAGATAAAATGTAAATCATCCAAGCCTTATGTATAAACATATATAATCATAACTCTAACTTACGACCAAACAACAGTAAAATGAAAACTTGCAACCTAACGACATCATTAACTATTCTTGTGTATTACTTCAAAATTTTACTATGTTATACCTCAAAACAAAAATGGACAATTCTTCCGAAACTAAAGATGCAATTTTTCTATAATAACGAAACAAACTTAAGCCTTACCATGTATTTAATCGCGACGCCATCCCATACATTTTGATCGATGGATCCCACGACTCGAAGGCATTTGCTAGCAGACGTAATTTTAGCCATGGATAGGCCGGTGTGCTTTGCAATCTCGTCGTCATCTGGATATTTTCCATGACTTGTGCTCAGGGCTTTTCTAGCCTTTTGCACTTGGCTTACCACCTTGTTTAAAGTGCTCTGCATCCATAGAAAAATCATAAACTTATCATCAAACATATCGACATTTTAAAGCAGTCTCCAAGTAAGTCCCATCTAAAAATAGTTCGCGACAAGCCAAGGGTGTGTTCTTTTACTGTTTTCCACCAAAAAAATTAATATACTACATACATTCATTATTTTTATATTATTTACACAATTTTCTATAACTCACATAAAAATTTTTTTTCTTCAAACTAAAACACAAAACAAACACAACCCAAGACTTGGCCTTACAGGAATTCGAATCCCTCTTGCATGTTTTGACACCATTGTCGAAATTGATTTCCTTATCCAATATTGGACATAGGTTGAGAACTTGTACCCTCTCGACTGATCAAACCTTTCGGCACCTTGCAAGACGCCGATGTACCCAGCCTGTCAAGAGATGCCGCAACAAAATCATAGATCATAAACATCCAAAGTTAACATGTATTTATCCTTCGAAGTGACATCTCGAACTTTCCTCCTTTCGTAAATACAATTTATAAAATTATTTCAAATAAAAAGTAAAAGTAGAATGGTAGAAAAACTGTTAAAATTATACCATCTGATAAACTGTGTCGAAAGTAAACATACCAAACATATTGGGACTGAGGTAATAGTTACAAGCATAAGCAAGAATTTGCTAACATAATTTTTGGTCATGTAAGTGTCGTTCTTTTCATCATTCTGGTCATTTAAGTGAATTTTGTAGCTCTAGCGATCCTAACTTTGGACAATTAGAGCGATGCGAGGGAGATATAGACATCATTTCCAGGTAGAGTCCAATTGAAGGATCGAAATAATAAGAGACACAACTTACAAGATTAAAATTAAATTTTTCCAAAGGCAAATCAAAGTTACCTGAATAAGATCTTCAAAGGCGACGCCAAATCCTCCATAGTTTCTTGCAATGAACAAAACCAACGAGCGCGTGCTCCTTAGCAGCTCGTCCCGGCAGTGCCAACCATAGCGCAAACGCTGATACAGTTCCTTGTTTTCGATCCCTGCAGCCTCCGCCCAGCTACTCAAGCTCGTCACGCTTTGACCGGTTTCTCGTTCCATCGCCATTTTGATCTTTTCCAATCCAGCAACCATCTGTCATGATAAAACGCTACAAGTCAGACAAACCTTGTTCTTACAATGCCAGCAAAAAAGCATCATCCGTGTAACCAAACTTTAACAACCTTAACTCCACGCGACATTTCCGCCTCATTCCTAGCAATTTTATGTCGCGTGTTCTTAGATTTCGAGGATCCTCTGGCAGAGGCGGAGTTAGGTGGGAGCGCGGGATCATCCAAAGCAGTACGGTTTAATTTCAGTGGTGTTTTTCTCCTCCTCGATCTTCTGAGTTCTTTTTTGCCGGAGCGTACAATTTCCACATCGCCATTTTCCTTGGATTCTTTCGATTTGTCGACGAGCTCAGTAGCCGGATTGAATGATTCGTTGGTTGTCCTGGACAGACATGAATGGAAGAATCTCAGAGCTCCGAGCCGATCTAATTGCTCCAGAATATCTCTTTCCAGCCTTACCGTGTTGGAGTCGGCGCAAATGCCTTCCAACACGTCCAGATTCTTCATAAGCAGTCTGAAATGCGACGCATTAATCGCCCGTAAGGCGGTATGACACTCCGACTCGTCGTCATTGTTCGATGATGTCTGGATTTCGCTTCCATGCAAACTGCTGTGAGCATCACTAGAACTCTTCCTGATCGGCACCTGAATAATCGAACAAAAACATAAGCTTGCCAATCACTTGCAATAAATAGACTACAAAACAGGAATCGAAGAAGATTTATGGAAACATTAGCGACCTTTGTTTCTTTACTCCTCAAGACATAATTCTCCAAAACCTGAGGTGCTGACGAACTGGCTTGCGCCCTGAAAATCTCATTGACAGTTTCTGCTTCGCCGTATAAAAGCGAAGCTGCAGTCAACCTCCCCAAGATCCGGGAGCTTTCCCTGCCCCGACCTACATAATTCGAGATCACCTCATGCAGTGAGTTTTCTTACATGGACACGCCAGAATAACTCCATCGATGAAATAAGCTATTACAAACACAAATAGTGTAGTTCACTTAGTAATATATTCTTACAAGATTACCCAAAAATATTATAAAAAAAAATACAATATATTATACTCACTCAATCCACAAATATACGTCTAATCTTCTTTTTGTTTGTTCACAAAAAATATAAACTTTCCATTAATAACAAAATACTCAAATATACGTCTAATCTTCTTTTTGTTTGTTCACAAAAAATATAAACTTTCCATTAATAACAAAATACTCTTGCACAACATTTAATTTATATCCTTCATCGTTAGACTTAATTTACAAATATTCTACAATTATTTACGCACTCAACTTATTCAAAATTTTCTCACTTATTAATTCACTCATATACGTCTCAAAATAGCTTTACTTTATATCACAACAAAAATAATATCATATTCTCCCGTCCCAACTCAAAATACCATTTATATCATTCTTGTTTGTCCTACTCCAAAGCATCCATTTGTGAAAAAATAATCATACATTAATACCAAAATACCATTACTTTTTCTTTATATTACAAAATCTTTTACACACTTCTACTAACCAATAAAATAATATTATTTCTAACGACCAAAATATCATTACACATAACATACAATTAATATATATAGCAAAATATCAAAATCTCTTGCAGACTTCTACTGACCAATAAAATAATATTATTTTTTAATTTACTACAAAACTCAGCCTATTTGGATTGGAACGAAGGGAGTATTATATTCATTAAAACCCATGCTCAGCACAAATGAACATATTTTAATGCCCGAAGAGAGTATACGATATATTTATCTAACAGTAAAAGTCAATAAAAACACAATCACAAAGCATCCATGTGCTTTATACCTCACAACAAATACATCTAAAACTATAAACAACTGTGAAAAATGTTACAGGGAAGAACAATCTTCCTAAAAGTATGTATATGAATGAAAAATGTTACAGGGAATGGACATGGACAGTATTATCAATCCCCAACCAAATCATCCGGAAGAAATCGATGATCTATATCGACTACAAGATCATCGAAAAAACTATGAAAGCAAGTCATATTATCTTTTCCTATTCCCCGTGGAATTTTATCACTTAAAGATCCAAAGCAAGAGCCCAAACCAGAAGAACCAATGTAAAGTAAAGAGGGTACAGAATTGTTTTCAAAATCAGATTCGATGCAATTTACCCAAATTATAACTGGCAACAAAGATCAAGAGAAGAATCATTAGGCAGATAATAGTCTAGACTAAATTCGTCAATGAATACATAAATATGGCAAAAAAAAAAATAAAAAAAAATCGAGTATCCGTTGAAGCGCAGAAGGCAATGGATGTGCATCGAATCGGTGAGTACAACAAATTTAGGGTTTAGATTTCGACGAACATCTTAAAGACATGCTCACATCAAAATAGGAGAAGCGAAATGCAATAATGAGAATTCGATTTCGGAAGAATTGGTGACTCACTCACAGGAGTAGGAGGAATTAGGGCAAGAGGATGACGGCGATGAAGATGAAGATGAAGATGAAGGTGAAGATGTGGGGAGAGCAGAGTGAGGCCATTTGAGGTGCAGCCTAAAACCCATGAAGGTATTTGTTACTGAGAAATTGAGATAGATAGATATTTGAGATTATTGTGGAGAAGTGAGGGCTGAGGTGATGATATCAATGGTGGTAATGGTGGCGTTGTCAGCTCTCAGCCACTGCTTCCCAATCTCCATTTTCTTCTCTATATCTCTCTCTAGGCCTTGGGTGTGGTTGTGGCCTTCTCTCACTCGTTCGATCTTTATTCACTCCTCAATCAAAAATCAATCAATCATTCATTCATTCATTTCAATTTCGCCCACAATCTGTACTGCAGTACGAGTGATGCGATGCATGCCTATCTATGAATTGTGCTCTTCACTACTCTACTGCCTCAAACGTGAAAACACACTTTATTTATTTAATTATTAATAATAATGATAATAATAATAATAATAACTTCTCTCCCAATGATAAAATTTTTAATTTAATTTCAGGCTCTCTATCATATAAAGCAGTGGCCGAATCAGAGTGTTGTTCCGCCAAAAGGATGAAGGATTTTCTTGAGGTCTATTTTTATTATTTTATTAATAACAAATATAAATATATATTGATTTATTCGATCAACATAAAGAAATATATAATTAATAAATGTTATTTGAATTTGAACGAGTAGTTCATATAATCACCAATACTATTTTTATTCATCAGAAATATTTTAATTTTTTATATGTTATTTGTAAATAGACCAATTTCATTAGTAATTTACAAAAATATAATAATAACAACAATAATAATAATAATAAATACTTTTGGTGGGCAGAGAAAATAATAAATAGTGTAGCAAACTACAATCATTATAAAGGCAGCTTGTTTATGTTGAAATTCAACTTTTAATAATGTGACCAAAAACTTCAAAATCTATAAACAATAACCTTTCACAGTATATTTTTCTCCCAGTAATTCGACGTAAGTTTATGATGGCAAGAATAAATTACGTATCTGACGTATATATACATACAACTGGAGCTCTTTCAAAATTTTGTTCCTCTTCCCTTTTGCAACTGCAATTCTACTCACATGTGTATATATATATATATATAATCTGTTTGTGACAGCTTGATCATATGATTCAGAAGCTGTAAAAATCACTGTAGTCTCTACACATGAGCATCAGTTAGTTATCCTTACAGTTTCTCGCATAACCGGCCGACAATCTCGGCTGCGGCTGGAAAAAATCGAAGGTTGCGCCTGGCCCGAAAGATCGTCTTGTGGCATTGGGGGAATCAGAGAGTAAAGGTTCATACACAGAATTACGCGCCTTAGGCTGTGAGATCGACAGAGGGGCCAGATCTTTTTCCAAAGATCTTGACTGAGGTTCGATGTTTCCCAGCGACAGAATTGGCCCTCCCATACGTTCCGCCTGCTGGAGAATGTTGATTTTGCTTGACCTGTAAGTGTATCGGAAGTACTTGAGAGCGAGGACGGGACCCATACCAGCTGCTACGATGATCTGAAACAGACAGAATAGCATTCGATCAAAAATCTAATGTGTAATGAATAAAAATAACTTGGCATTGTTGATGAGAAGCGATTGTGTAGAAGAGTAAAATGATGGGGGATAAGACTTACGATCATCGTAAGCCAGTATGACGGCTGCTTGCACAGGCGAAACATTATGGTGTACATTCCGGCTCTCGGGATGGCGCTGACAATCCAGTTGATGATGTAAAATGCAACCAGATTGCCCCAGATAGCGAGGTGTTGCAATATAGTGAAAGAGCTGCAAGCACCACATAAAACGTGTGAGCTTACATAAACTCGAGAAATGAAACGCTTACAAAACTGCATATACATCAAAGAAATGACGGTTGTTACTGTCTTGACTATATTTAATCAGCACAAAATATATACCGGCAACACAAAATATATGTTAATATTAATACAAATACATCATATAAACTACAATAATCAATACAACACATACTACAATTGAACTCAACACATAAGGTATATACAATACACATATAAAATAGAACAAACAACAACCTCTCCGACTATATTTAATTTGCTGATTAGAGCTAATCAACACCATGCTCGCTAGCCTAACCATTCCCGAAAGAAACATATCAGAAAATGTTGTTCATCTAAATAGCAATGTAAATGCTGTGTAAAAATATGAAGATTTCTCTACAAGGACCTCAAGAGTTGAATTTTGTTATGTAACTATCAGAGTATGCAAAAACTCCAAATATTTTCATAGAATCTTCAATAAAATAAAATAAAAAAACTGATACCTCGAGAACATTTTACACTATATTTTACTCTGGATGGTCTGCTTATAAAACTAGTACACATATAGAAATTGCACAAGAAAGATGGACAATTACTCACTTGGTTTCCAATGCAACGACAAATGCCTGCAACCAAATGCATCCAGAGAGGGCGACCATCGCTAACTCTTCCATCTCACTTTTCTCAAAAGCATAGGAATGTATGGTGATGACAAAAACGACAATTGCCTGAATAAAGCATAGCTTATTAAAGTTGAGCCAAACCATCATACACTTGACAAAGGAAAATTGAGAATTCACACACCATCAGAGAGTCAACAAGCAATAAAATTTATTCAATGAGTTAGTTAAGGATTAACTCTACGTCAGTCAGCACAACACATCAAAATATTCATTATTTGCTTCGTTATACATTAAAGATTCAAATATTAACGGTCCAGAATTCATGAGGAAAACATAGACGATCTAGATGCAAAGATGTGTTAGTCTAACATAAAATCTTATAGCAGCCACCTCTATTTTGATACGAATATATTCATTTACTTGTGGCTACACTGGAACATCACGACTAAGCTCTAGTTGCTGCATCTACTATCTTAAAGATAAGTTTAGCCAAAATGCTTTATCAACATCTCAATCCAGATGCATCTGGTTTTGTGTACATGATTTAGGGAAAATGATATGTACGGTGCCAACTTATATTATTATCCAAGAAACATTTTGGCACACCAAACATTCGAAACTCTAGTGCTAATAGCTTCCCTGTGTGAGTATCTTCATATAATCTATCACAGTAAAAATGTGTTGAATACACATGCATAAGGCACTTACATGAAAGAGAGATCGGCCAAACCATCCCGCAAAAGTGCTAGGGTTTAGAAGCCTGTTTCAAGTACGACGAGTAAATAAAAATACCACAAAGGGAAGGATAACAAACCAAACAAAAGCGAAATAGTAATTAGTAGAAAGCATGCGGATTCAAACCTTCCAGCCTGGCAATAAAATAGTATCTGGGGATGCTGAATTACAGTACTTTCACTAAGATCTTTGTCAAGAACACTGACTACAACAGGAACACTAGTGTAAAACACATTATAAGCCATCAAGCTCACGGAATTGAAAAGACTTGTTCCAGAGATGCCTGAAATGAAAGAGAAACTGGAAGCGTAGTCCTGTTAGTTCATGAAAAACACATTTGCTAGTGAAAGAACTATAGCTGGTTACAAGGTACAACACAAACTTACAAAATTTGGATAAAACATATTAACAATGACTTGTAGAATGAATATTGGGAAAGAAATGCCGTGCGGTTATACGAATAGCGCCCGTGCACAAGTATCAATCTTTTCAAAAATCTGAATTCTGCAAAAATGACAACAATAGCATATGTAAATGGTAACAGATATCAGGTACATATGCACATACCATGGAAATTCTACATACACATTTAACAAATTATCTCTAGGAAAAGAATAATTTTGTGCTCCTATGTAGTCTGATGCACAGTGAAAAGAGCACACCTTCTAAGCGAAAACACGCCATGATATACATTTCCAATTCTTAAATACAAATCCTTATTAGGTAACATATACAGCATGGGGAAATCAAAATATTATTTGACAGAACAATGTTCTTATAAATGAAATCACATAACATGATACGGACATAAAAAACTTCAATGTTACAATTCATGAGGCATGAATGCATATTCATGATATTGTACATCATACAGTCAGCCAGAAGGAAGAAAAAGAAAAACCAATAAAAAGCCACTGTAACCAAAGATCAAGACAATATATAAAAATGATGCCTCATATTCTCCGAAAGATGCAGTTTATACAGCACATGCACATAATCTATTGCAGTTATATAAGGGAGGTCCATAGATTTGCCGGAATTTGACCTAACAGTTTATGGTTCGGTTTATTGACTATAAACACGTCAATATGATGATTTAAGTTATAAGAAGTGATGTTAAGGGCTTCATTAAAAATATATAATCACTGGAATAACAACCAAAAAAACCACTGATGAGAATTTCAAGTTATTATCCATCTTAATTTGGACAGAACAATGGGGATCTTACTTCCAATGCTATAATCAGATGCCCTTGCTGCTTGCAACCCTTCCCTCCCACTTATGCCAACTCCTATGTCTGCTTGCTGAATCATTCTCACATCATTTCCACCATCACCAATGGCCAACGTTCTATAGTCACATGATTTCAAAAGCTCTACTAGCTAAGAAAGGAAAACATAGCTTCAGCATGACTTTCCGGAAAAAATTGGTCAAAAAAAAGTAAGCCATCTCTAAGTGGCTCTAGTGTAGATCGTTTACAGCTTGATATTATTTCTATTGCTGGAGTAAAGAAAGACGAAATATAATAAATCCTAAATACAGAAAAATCAGCTTACAATAATGTTTAACATAGTCAAATCAGGATATATTTTCCTTTCTAGTATGTTACCTGTGCCTTTTGGGATGGCGTTACACGGCAGCATATAGCCGTCCTAGACAAAATAGCAAGTTCAGTGAACGCTGTACGATAGTGCTTTAGGGCAATTTCGAGAGCCCAGCCATCAACAACAAAAGCTACATCCTGCAAGAATGAAGTATAAGTTCAAAAAAAAAAAAGTATATGTTACAAGAAATTATGAACAGGTGAGGGTAATGGTGCATATAAGTTCAGTTTGTTCCCTAGATTTTTCTAGTTAAGTAGAATCTAGCTCAAATGATAGCCTAAAGTTCTACAGTATTCATAGAAAGTGGGATCAAAACCCCACTTTGGTTAAACTTTGACAACATATGTAAGCATGATAAATCATTTCTGGCACATTACTGCCACATTATATGATTGAACTAAAATTTCCACGGAATCTAAGTTCACAATATTATTTCAATTTAATACAGTTATTTTAAGTAACTGCAATTCTACAAACCGATCAACCAAGAAATGCAAGAGGTACATATTGTTCATCACGGTGGTCTTGGAGATACAAAAAGAACATACTCTTCCTTCTTAAAAAAAAAAATGAACCATACCTTAGGCTCAGAATCTGTGATTCTCATTGTAAGTAAAACCCTCTCCAAACTCCTACAAACTTCATCCTCGGTTTTTCCATTAATCAACAGAAGCTGACCTTTAGGTTCTGTTAAAAATGTGCAAAACCACATAAAAAAGGATGATAAAAGCACTTTATTATTTGCATGTTAAGAAACCAACCGCATAAAAAGGATGATAAAAGCACCAGAGTATTCGCATGCAAAGAAGCCAACAAACTTCAAGGTATTTGCACAGACAAACAAATATCAGTAGGGTCTATTAGTGCTGTCAAGTCGATACAAAAAGTAGCATTTTGTTCAATAATCCTCCCACTCTTATGCATAGCACCTAAACATGTTCACTGGATCACTATTTAGCAAGCTTCAGACAGATGCAAAGAGGTAATCATCAGTAAGTTCCTCCAACAACTATCCTTAACAAAATAAATATAACATTTCATAAGTCAATTAAAGCTGCTTGATTGACAAAATAGTCCCTCTAAGCATCACAAATTAATCAATTGAGAAATTACTTTTGTTGGTTAACTTCCAAAATATCGTTCTCTATAGTGTTCTGGTTAAACTATAAAAGACAAAGAATATACAAAATTTCAGTGAAAGCACCTGGCGAAACAAAATTGCAGGAAAGAGCAATTTGAATAGCAGTGTTTTGCTTGTCTCCAGTCAGCATCCAAAAATTTATTCCTGCTTTCCTAAGAGTTTCGATTGTTTCAGGCACACCATCCTGGATTGTTATCAAAACAAGAGAACCGGTAAAATAATAGTCTGTGCAACAATCAACATAGTGAAAAGGACCTAAAGAACTAAGAATAAATTATTTTTTGCAACCAAACTGCTTGAGAGAGATTTCTGAAGCAGAGAGAAGCACCTGTAGACAATCCTCTATGGCAGCAACACCAAGAACTTCTAGGTCATGCTCTAACCTCTGACAGACTTCAGCTACTCTCCACTGCCAAAAGTTAGTGAGCAGACTAACCATTACTTCTACTGTTGATAACCAAACAGAAGATAAGGAATAATAATAATAATAATAATAATAAAGCTGGTGTATTGGAAAAAGGATGAGGAAAATCGAAAATCTGTAACATTCCTATATTACCTCTCTATCAATTAGTGTACTGTTAGCATCTTTGAACATCAGTGCCCATTCTTCATATTCATCAACACCTAATTCACGCCAGGCAAGGCATAATGTGCGCAGACCCAACTGAGCATATTGTTCGACAGCTTCAGCAATAGACCTCATATGTTGTCCTGATACAAACCTTTAAGTTTAGATTTTACAGCATTACAATATGATTCCACCTTACAAAACTATGCATGCATTTCAGCCATCCCAAAATATATTTCAAATGTGATCAACTTTGAAACAATTTTACTAGGATCTTACTGAGCTACCATTCCATGTAAATTCTTTTATTAGTGAGCTTGTTTTCTTTAACCACAAAATTTTTATTATCTTAGTCTTCTACTATAAACATGTCTTAGTATCTTTTACTTACATTACACTTTGCATCGAATTTAAAGTTTAAACTCAAATTTTGCCTAGAGTTTGACAACTTCTGACCATCACAAATCCAAACATATGTTGCATTCAACCATTATAGAAGAAATGTGGAAGAGAAATAATTGTTCAGTGCACAGTAGAGAAGAAGTCTAGTCTTTATTCCCGAGTATTTCCATTTCTTCCCGTGGCCCCTACTGGTTAGGAGTCTACCATGGTACCATTAACTATTGTTGGTTGGTGTTGAGGATAAAGATAAACTTGAGATTGTGGGAGCATATGCAAGTAGTCTGGGTAAGTGGTCAGTGCACAAACTGAACTCTGTTTTGAGAAGTTATTCAAACTCAAAGAGGAAGTGTCAAGACTCAAGAGTATTTATTTATATGGCGAGTAAAAGGTATATCTATTAAAAAGATGGACAGCAAATTACAATAAGGCAGTAATCTAGGACAAACAGAAATAAACTGGTGGAAATATATTAAGTGATCTCATTTAGAATAATATTTTTTTGATATCATCTCATACCTTTAAGCTTTAATTTTAATTATTTTCCTCAACAATATTTTAGTTCTGTGGCAACTATATTACACAGTAACATTTGATTCTCTCCAAATTCATTTGTTTTGATTAACACTGTAAATGCTGTTTTACTGAGTTAATTCCGCTACATAGGAGGAAATGATAGGTTTGACTAGAACAAGATATTAATAAATAGCAGCTTTAGTCAATTCAGATGTTTATGGAAGATAACTAATTTTCCTTACTTGATTACTGATATTTACTTTCGGGATATCATTATTGTTTGGTTGTCGTTTGAAATTGATTTGAAATGAAGTGTCGATTTGAGTTTTTGTTTAAATAGTATTTTGATGTGATATTTTGTGAGAGGAAACAACCTGTTTTTATTGAAAAACGTGTAGGTGAATAGTGTTGATTTTAATTTGAAATTGCAACCAAACAAATCCTGATTACTCAATTTCTAAGCATATACCTCTGAACTAGTGAAAGCAGGAATTTCATATATTTCAATACTCTCTTTTTTTGGTGATTGAAGGAAAAGACACAACAGGACTAGCATGCAAAGATAGTAACATATACCAGTATGAGCACAAGGAAATATAGCTTCATCTGCTCCTTTAGACAAGAGGAATATCTTCTCAGTTTGGCAATCCTTAACAACCACTGACATTCTTTTCCGATCAGAAGTAAATTCCAGAATGTCTAGCACTTCATACTGAATTAGAGCACCATTGAAACGGATATCTGCAATTCCAGGATACATAATATTAGGTATAGATATTATATATATACATCTCATAATTGAAGACTCCTGGGAGCATACCAACAATACTCCCATTCTTATTCGCAAAAGCCATCTGCAGATGAGCTGCAGCACGTACAAGAGCTTCTTCATCTTGAGATTGGGCCTTGTATGTTATTCCCCCCATTTCGCTGCAGAAATAACCAACGAAAATGATTAGATCTCACTACCAGCTGAAATCATTCCTCATAGAATCATACAGTGTGCAAGTTATCGCCATCTGGGTAAATTCCAATCATCTTTGCAAGCACTCACTTACAGAAATATATTACCTTTGAACAGGGATTACAGTGTTGCAAATTGCCATAACTTTCAGAAACCGAATTGCATCATCAGAACCACTGGAAACAGCAGTAAGCAACTTTTCATCTGCAGCAATTAGAATGTTACATGGTTAAGACAATAATAAAATTTTCCGTTAAAATAGGTGGTGAGCAATTATAGAATAATTCATGGTTTAAATAGACCTGCAATAAGTGGAAAGTAAGCATAATAAATATGCAACCAAATCAATGGAAACACACCCGGATTGAGAATAGATAGAAACTCACATTCACATCAGGCTAACACATGAGACCATTCAATTAACCCAATAATTAAATACAGTGAACTGCCTAAACATCAAGCATCTATGCCTCAGATATTCAAGAGAGATTCTTGAGCATCAAGAATGTGTGATACAAGACTATGATTGGTTGGAAAGATCAATATATGCCAGAGAATATCCTCAAACAAAATAAAATCAAATTATATCCAGGAAGCAGTAATATCCCATCTTACATTTAATAAAAATATTTTCAAATTTCATAAATCCAGTTGTAAAACAAGTGAACTGCTTGTAAGTTGAAAAACTTATTTAGGTGATACAAGACCATGATTGGTTGGGAAACTTCATTTTACATGCTAGGTGACAGTTGGTGACAAGGATAAGCAATTTTCACTTATCTTAGGTCATGGAGATTGAATAAATTGGATTCTAGAATTCGTGGGTGGAAATGCAAGCCCTTGTCCTGTAGAAGGCGATGTTAAGTTGTCCCACAAGAAATATGTTAGAGCTCTCCTAGTTTACAAGGGTGAAAGGCAACTCTTATTATCACCAGTTGGTTTTAAGATGGAGCCCTGAATTCCTTCTTAATGCTATCAGAATCATAGGTACCCATATTGGGTATTGATCTTGGTTAGAATTTTGAAATAATATCATCTCGAGGGGGAGTGTTAAGTTGTCCCACATAGGAAACATGTTGAGAGCTCTCTTAGTTCATAGAGGTGAAGGGCAACTCATCTTATCATCAATTGATTTTAATATGAAGCCCGGATCCCTTCTTAACAGGCGAGATCACTTCTATGTGTGCTTTGAATAAAGCTCTTCTCACACAATAGTCTTGGTGATTTCAAGATAACTTAGGCAGGCTAACATTAGCAGACACTAGCAAAATGAAACTCAATACATTGTGGAAAGAACTAAGGCTATATGAATTTTGCAGATGGATACAGCTTTAAAGTGTAGGTGGCCAATAATGTAACGACTGTATTCCCTTTTCAATAAAAAAAAACTACATAAAAGTGACCCAGTTCTATAGACATGCTGCATCATAAAGCCACTCAATCCCAAAATAAAAATAGAAAAAAAAAAACTAAATTAAAAATATCAGTTTAGCAAATAAATTATCAAAATTTGGAACAACAGAAGCCACAATTGTTAATATAAGCATCTGGCGCCCAATGCAATATTTTATATTTCTCATAGAAAAGAGGGATCAAACAAACAAGTGTAGGCATCACTCTTGTAGTTAAACTTAATGGAATGAAAATATATAAGGATTTATAGCTCACTCCTTAAATGAAGAAGATATTAAGTTGTGGTTTTAAATAGAGGTTCAGATTTACAAGAATGAAATCCAAACAGAAAAACACTTTCTGATGCACAACTAAACATGATCTTACCTGTCAAAGCATCCCCATTCTCATTCCCATAATATCTTCCAGTTATACAACATCTCTTGAAAATCATTTTATTTTCAGTGAGGGTCCCTGTCTTATCAGTCAAGATATACTCAACTTGTCCCAAGTCTTCACTAATTGCGGTGCTGCCAAGTACAAGAAACGGAATAAAATAAACCAGGTATCCCTAAATAACTCAGGAGCCGTTATCATTATAAACACATTTACAGGTTCTCACTTGGCCGCATGGGATCGAATCCCTGTCTCTAGATCAACCATCTGATCATCCCAATCAATAAATTTAGCATATAACCCTTTAACAAGATCCAAGGAAACCTGATGCAGAGAAAGGAATTATTATGAATACCAAACACGGTTCATATTACATAAAGTTAATGCATTCCCACTCAAAATTTGAAAACCATGCAAATGCTTCAAATAACATTATATGCATTTTATGTGGAATATTTGAACTTTAACTTGCTTTAAGCACACAGACTTAAAAAGAAACTAACTTAAGATAAGTACCTGATAACCAAATTACAATTATAAAATGACTTCAATGCTCAAAGCTTCACCTTTATAGATATAGGAATCATAATGGAGCATAGCAGCTCAAATCGCAGAGGGATGACTAGGAGTTCATACCAAGGACCTTCTTTTGGATACTGAACATACCATAGCTGCAAAAGAAAATCCAATATTCTGTTGATTAGTTAATAGAAAATACGGGGTATACATATTAAATGGAAGAGGTGGCAGGAACTTATACGGAGTGTGAAAAGTGGACTATTCATCAGTTCATATCTCTAATGCAGTTGAAATTTCATTCTTACAAACAATGGAAAATAGAGAACATAAAACATTAGTCTGAAATAAAATTCTACTGGACAATTGCACAGATAAAATAAAAGGCACAAAGGACTTTTACATATTAATTCTTCAAAGCAATAGCAAAGTAAACAGCAAGCGATAAACAAAAAGGTCCAACTTCCTCCCTTTTAGGGGATGAAGACAAAGGACCGAAGATTTAGTTTAGGATAAGATGCCAGCTACTGACACAGTTGATATCTGAGAGCAAGGCTAAACTCAAACACCAGGGTAATTTACCAGCCTTTTTCTTTTGAGTTCATCAACAATAAAAATTTCAATCTGCTTGATACAGTTTCAAATTGTCTGAGATAGCGTCCGCACTGAATACTAAGGTGAAAACCAAGTAAACATTCTTTGTCAGACTCACCTTCCTTGCTTCGGAATCCTTCCAGACATTCCCAGCTACACCTAGAACAATAACAACAACAATTTGAAAAACAAATATGGCTCCAGTTAATTTGTCAATCATGGCATCTACAGCTGTGAGCTTTGGTTCAGGTATGCCCCTACTCATGCCCAGCTTGGTTTCATTGCCTGTCATTGACAAGGGGTAAAGACAAGAATTTAATTAATTCATTTTCTGAACTAGAATCGAACAATATTATATAACTAGAAGAAAGTGAGAGTCAATAGAAATGCACTTTTCTTTTAATTATAAACAAACGTTGTATGCGATCCCTGAAATGTGCTTATGCCATATTAAAGAGGAAAGTCAATGAAGCAAGAGATATTCATAATTATGTACACAAGTGGTTCAATCACCCAGACAAGCTTCCCCTGTTCTTCATTATTATATACAACTACAAGGTAGAAATCCACCTCTAGCCTTTTCTTCCTTAACTCGCCAACTAACAGATCTCCTTCAACACAACTTTAAAAATAGACACAAGAAGATCCTAAATTCATATACTCTTTTACATTGTAAGATATTTTTTCAGAAGTAAATTTGACTGACTTGAAACAGAACAAGGTACAAAAAATAATTGGATGATACTGATATTTTCATATGCTGAACAGACTTGCCTGTGTATATCGCAACTCCGCATGCCCATTCTGTGTTCCTTAAGTAGCATGATTGAAGAAGTGTATTGTTTATTGTCAAGGGGCACACATCATTATCAAGAAATGGAGGAAACAGACGCATGTTTGCATCAAACCTCCTAATATCTTTATCAGGACTAGGGCACTCAATTACACCCTGCACAAGTGAAAAAAAAAATATAATAATAATAATATATTATAATTATTATTATGATGATGATGATAAAAATAACTTTTCCCAATCAATTTCATATATTTTTAAAACATGGGTAAATCTTGCCTTAATTTTTTGTAATAACTCCACATCTATTCCCAGGCAAGCAGAAGGTATCCCCCTTGTCTTCAGGTCAGTCTCTCCATCAAGTGCTGATGTCTATAAAACACAAACATGGACCCCAAAATCAAACAGGTGCATGCATTTGCAGAAGAAAAGCAAAATCATTTTGGATCTTTATAGTTCTAGGAAATCATCACAACTTTTGAGGATCCATTGAACCACAAGAATCAATACCAGCATTACCAGAAGGTGAACAGCACAATCTGTTACTTCATGGAACAACACACAGAACAGCATATGCTTAAACTTTAACAGTACGTAGAAACCTCATGTACTATTTTATTTCCATTGTAACAGAATAGTAGAGAGAGTACAAAAATCAATAAGGTAAGCATATCACATCTTAACATTATTAAAATAAAACCGTAAAAATACCAAAACTCTAGATATAACTAAATACAATAAATTAACATAGAACAAATCTATAACATAACAAATTCTTCATTCCTTAGAAGATTGAAATGTGATGCAAGTAGTAAGATTGAGAACCATAGAAGTCAATAGCACTGCTATTGTCCCTCCGCAGAGTGGCCAGCTGTCCACCACCACTGCTACTTCAAAGTGCGGTTATGCACTCAGGCAGTAGCGGCTTGTGGCGGCAGGCATGTCGGAGTGGAGATATAGCTATTATTTATCAAGAGCAGCAGTGAGGAGAGTGAAAATGAGAAAGAAATTAACTATTAGATTTTAAATCTAAATAATTTTTATTATCTATCAAACAAAGTAGTATCGATCTAATTATTTATGCTTACATAACTATGTATAAGACTTTATCTATTAGTTCAAATTATAAGATGAGATTAATTTATAAGTTTTTCATATGTATAATTTTATTTTTCTTCAAATTGCAGACATCATTCTATTCACTATCTTGCTAAAGAGATTTAGAAATTCAAACATTGTTTACTGCTATCCGAGGTTGACAATTATGTTGAGAACACTTTAATATCCACTCTAACAAAGATGATTGGGTTGACTTTGTAAGAATTAAAAAAATTGGTGTGATGTACCATGCAATATCAACTGTGCATGAAGCCACTTCATCTCCCAATATTGGTACTGTTCCTCATGACTATTGAAACATACTAAACTTTACAACTCAAGTTTATTCGATAGATCAAATCTAATTTAACATGGAAAATACTATTGCAAAATTAACTCTGACCCTTTCCTATAGTTGAAAAGTAGGAACTCATGTAATTTGTTCAACTTAGAATATATCAAACAGAAATCACGATAACTACATAATATCTTGTGCTTTGATCTCTACGACCAATTATCAACTCACAGGTTCTTAGTACAATTATAAAGGATTCTTATTCATTAATAAATTAAATTGTTGGACTCAAAGATGACCAGTAACTGGGTATTATTCATCCAATAGAAGAAATAATGTTTACTTTTTGACAAGCACACGAATAGAAAATTATCACAAGGAATGTTGGTGGCTTAACTTTCAAAAAAATATAAAACATAATAATGATAATAATAATAATAAAGAAAGAAAAAACAAGGTACACATCTTCTAGCTGCTAGACTTTATTATATTTAAGCCACCTTACTTGTTGTACCATATATTTCCTCATTTTCCAAATTCAGTCAAGTAACATGTTTTTTGAAAAGTAAGGAGATTTTATTAGAGAGAGAAAAACTACAAATGTTTAGAAAGTGAAAAACGAAACCTAAAACTTGAGGCACATCTGAAAGGTCTGAAACATTTGGGCTGGATTAGATTTACAGTACATAAAAGTCTCCAGTTCAGGAGCATTATAGCCAAGCAATAAAGTACTCTCCATTTGCAGCTCCAGGCTCTACAAGGAAATCAGCCAGATTCTTTTCTGATACCGACGAATCATCGCAACATTGAGAGGGAAAAATATAGTATGAATGTTTACTTAATAGAGAAAACAACGACCAACGGAATATCTTCGGTCCCGATTGTAGGTCGATTCCCCATACCGTCAATGATCCTTTAGACCTCTGACTCAACATATTTAAAGACTCCCTATCAAGCCCTATCTGGCCAATAATCTAATTGGAGTAATTTGACGCAACAATATAATGAAATGAATTTCCAGCAGACCCAAATAACTAATGTGCTACCATCAATCCAAAGCGAGTTGCTTCCCTTCAAGCCCAACATGAATATACCACCAATGATCATTCCTCCCAACATCGCTATGATTCGTCGACATCATTTTCACTTCCAAACACGTGGTGACATGTAATACTATAGAATATAGAATACTGATCTTAGGATATACTAGCCTCCAACATTGCTACTCAATCCACTGATCAAAACACTAGATGGCAACAAACACCAGGAGATAAACACTGATGGGAAAATTAAATTACCTCCACATAGCAAAGACCTTGAGGATCTGATGTACCAAGCAAAACAAGATCACAAGGAACCTCATCATTCTCACGCAACCATACTAAGTTTCCAACACGAATATCTTGGGCTTGAATCTAACATAAAAACAGAACAAGGTAACAGATTAATATGAGAAAAGTGGAAGATGAAAACAATAAAAGGAACTAGAACTTAATTATATAAATATTTTAAAATCCATGGCAAAGAAACTACACATAATCTCAATATTTTATGATTGATACATTGCATGCATTACTGTGTTTCAATTGAACTAATAAACCCTCGTGCACACAAGGATCAGTTTCACAGAGAGTGACCTCAGCTACAAGTACGATTTTATCTTGTGCCAAATTAAAGGTCAACCAAGTTCTGTCCACAGCAGGTCCATCGCCTTCTCCTCCCCACCCCCACCATCAATTACCAATTAACATAGTAAGCTTTTTTTCGGTTTTTTTTTTTTTTCAAATCTTTTTTTACTTTTTTTACTTTTTTTTTTAAATAAAAAAGAAAAGAAAAAATCACATAGATGAGTTACCTACCCTCCTAAATGCAACAAGATTTCCATCTGTTGTGCAATTTATGCAGAAACACCATATTGATTATTATTTCTATTGATATTCACTAATATATATATGTGTGTGTGTGTGTGTATTTATATTGACATGGATATATATGTTTTGTTTAATAAAAGCTTAAGTAACACAGAAGCTGGATTTGAAGACGGTTAGATTGCTTTTACTTTCACCCACAATCCTTCCATCACAAGGTACATGCACTTCCATGCATTCAGCCATCTTATTAGTGGTGTAGAGATTCTTGAATTAGACACATCTGTCACCATCAAATAGCCACAATACTATCGCATTCATCATATAGTTATACATTTTCTTCATTTTTTTTTCATCCCCAATCTGCTCTTTTTTGTGAGAAAATGTACATATAACAAAGGATCAAGAAGCATAGCCATATTTTTGGAAGGTAGATATGTGTTCATCTGACTGGATTGCTAATTTACGAGAAAACAGCGGATCTTAGAAGTGAAAAAGGGAAGCATCAATTAACCAAGTCGATAATTAACAAACCAGTTTTCTGATTCCATGCCTCACAATCCAAACTTCCTTCTCATTTGCTTGTTTATCTGAGAGATATCTGTTGTAATCATCCCATGCTTCTTTTGTTGCAGAGACTGAAAATATGAATATAAGGGGACCCCATGTACTTGCAGGATTCACAGGTGTAATCAGAGACCACAGTTGAAGGCAAGCAATCAGCAAAAAGTATTGGTTCATGAACCGGCTGGAAGGAAAGTAATAATTCCTCAGATATGAATAATAAAGGATGAGAAGAAAAGAAAAGCATGCTTTACACTTTACAAGGGGGATTGCACATACTGATCCCACAAGATATACTGATGATAACTTGACAGAAAAAAATATTTGGTCAGGATTAAGTTTTCATACTGATAACAGCAAATAAAACACAACAGAATAAAAATATAAATAAAACAATATCCATATTTATATGCTAAAAGATGAGCAACAATACAATAGCGCAAGCAAAAGCGCATGAAATGAGATGTGTGAATATGCATTAAAAGATTGTATGCTTCTTTTTGCCTTAAGAGTGGACATTCAAACAACTCATGTAACTTTGCCAATAGATATCTGTGAAAATCATGAGAAACAACTAAAGAGAATAAATAGATGTAAACAAAGAAACATAAATTGCAGAATCTTGTCAAAGTGGGTTGACATCTTAAACACTATAAAGCAGTGTAATTAATAATAATAATTGCTAAAGTGCATGAAGTAGGGGAGCTGATGTAGAAACAAGAAATGTTTACCTGAATTGTTCCCATAGGTTTTTCGGGAGAAAATTCCAGATGGTATATTTTCTGTTTGAAATGCGATTGTGGCAATACAGATCTTTTTCTAGACTGTCATCATTTATATATACATAGCGCTTCATGATCAATGTAATCGCATGGGATGAAGTTTAACAAGCTCAGGCCAAACCCGGCATGGAACTTAGAAACACTCCGTATGTGGCAATATCAACAAGGTTCTGCTAAACAAACAAAATACAATTGAATATTAAACAGTAAGAAAGAAAGCAAACATTTTTAGTCGACAAAAACAGAAGACATTTGTATTTATGTACTCCTCCTGAGGAAAACAGCATTAAGCTGTCATACATGGGCCTTAATGAAATAACTAGTCCTCTATGTTTTACTTATTTCAGAAATTTACCAACTGGAAAGCACACTTAAGTGGAAGCTATATAATTCAAATGATTACATTCACTCATTCCGAGTCTCCGACTTCTACAATTAGAACTACACAATCTATTATCAGTTCATGCCACATCTCCATTTCACCACATTTTGCATTATTTAATCTACCAGCCTCTGGTTCTTGATCAATTCCAAAATAATTAAATATAGACCATTGTATAATCCCCAAATCAAGAAAAAAGGTTGTTATTCCAGCATAATTAACCATGCATCACTTTACTATATTCAATTGGTAGAAACAAAGCTATTATCCACCTACTAGGCTAATACATGACTCAATTCCATCTTCCTTGATCATCAAGTACTCATGAAAGCTATGCCTTTCAAAAACCAGGAAAAAGTCATGCAAATTAACCACCCTTGTGTCCTGCAATACTTTCTCTAGAACATTGATCACGATAGTCACTATGTTCTGTAATATGAAATTCGCCTAACGCGCATGCTATGCCATTCAAAGAATTCCACACTTCCCTTCATTCGTCTGCGGAACTCAAAAATCCAAATTCAAGTTTTTTTATATCTATTATTCCATCACCTACAAAGTTCTCAACTGCAAGCAACTGTACAGACACATTCCAATTGAGCAATAATTTTAGCTCCATCATACGCATAAATCAAAATCGACACCATTGTCCTCACAGCTGATTCAAGAAATGAAGCTCCGCCAAACATCACAGGATAAAACGCGAAAATTACCTCCTAATCAACGCCCATCAAACTTGCGACTGGCTATCCAATCAAGAAACAATCATCGAAGACAAATTCCGACGGGATCCGACCCGAGGCCCGAACAAGCATTCCCGAGGCCTTACTTCGGATTGCAAAATGCGAAGGTTTGATCGCACCAGTCAACGACGGCGCATTCTGTGTCGATGAATATGCAGAGGATCGAAGATGGAAAATCGCGTTCTTAGAAAACGCGCTTCGTAGTCCGGCAAAATGCGCTTTTGAATATTATTTATTATCGGCCCAAGGCCCAGTTCACTAATGTTCCATTTGGGCCTGACAAAAGTCTGCATTTCTGCGAAATTGGAGCAGAAAGTCGCGTTTTGAGAAACGACGCTTCTTACTCCCCCAAAATGCGCTTTTGAACATTATTTATCATCGGCCCAATCCCCAGTTTACTCATGTACATTTGGGCCTGACAAAAGTACGCACTTCTGCAAGATTGGAGTTGGAAAGAATCACGTTTTAGAAATCGCGCTTCTGACTCTGCCAAAATGTGCTTTTGAACGGTATTTTCCCACCAGTACTTCAAACAGATTAAATAATTTAATTTTAATTTTAATTCGACTGTTTATTATCGTCTCAGAATTTTGATCCATATACATGTCAAAATTCTTGAATAATTAAGTCAAAATATTTGAATAATTATTTTTTATTATATTGTCATATTAGATTAATTTTTGTTAGTTTTAATATAATATCTATAATAAATTAAATTATTTAAAATTTAATTTAATTTAAATTAATATATATGAGTTAATTATTAAATTTAACTCCTGCCATATAAAATTATATTTATTTGACAGAATTTTCAAAAAAAATGAATGGTAAAGAAAAATTAAAAAAAAAAATTGTATTTTTTTTACTAAAAATAAAAGAAAATAAATTTAAATATTAAAATGAATAATTATTTTACATATATAAGAAATATATTAATTAATTATGATATATTATAATCTAAATTGGAATTTAAGTTGAGAGTATGAACCTAATTCAATTTAGTATCATATCGGATTAGTGTTACATCATATACATAATTTATTAAAATTCTTACCTAAGATCAATTATTTTGTGTCGGGCTTATACTATGGTATTAGGTTGTCATAACATTGTCTATTTTGGCAGACATAGGCTTTGTTTAGGTTGAGATTTTTTAAGGTTTTTAAATTTTAAAAATTTTAAAAAATTTAAAATAAAATAAAAAAAAATATATTTAATTTGATATCTTTTAAAAATATATATATATTTATTGTGATAATTTTTTGAAAAATAAACAGTGCTAAATAAGTTAGCCAAAGCCCAGTTCCTACTGTCCATTTGGACCTGACATTTTGACAAAGTACCATTATTGTGTTCTTCCCAAGTTCGAAGTGCGCAGTTCGCCTCCTGCCTACCTCGTCTTCGGCTCCTCGCATTCGCGCAGTCATCCGTCCGTCAGCAGAGCGGTTTCTCTTCTTCCTATATTTTTCATCGGCCGGCGTTGTCTCCTACAGCTGCGAAGAGGTGAGGGGAATTGTAGATTCAGTGTTTCCTTCTTATTTTGAAGTAATTATGCGAATATTTCAAGCATATGCAGCCACTTTTACCGCCGACTGCTACCAACGCTTCTTTGATCTAAAATTTGTGTCGAAGAAGAAAATTCGATGGTTTCTCTGTTCTCCTTAAATCCTATCCGAGTCGATGGATGCTGCTCCGTTAAATACCAGGTAATTGCTTCCAATGCCTCGTCATTGGTGCTGCGAAACTGTACTCGAGTTGATTGTGTGTTTTCCTATGCTGCTTACTAGTTGCCTTCTTGTTATGTGATATAAAAATTAGTTGCAAGGCAGCATTTTTTTTTTTATTACGTACAAGACAGCATTTTTTTTTTTTTTTATTACGTACAAGACAGCATTTTTAGTAATTAGGTTTGTGGATTTTTTTTTATCGTTCCTTTCAAATTTGTGAAGAATAGTGCGATTTAACTTAATATTTTTTCTAGGATGCATTTAAGCATTCTTCAGGTAAGAAGCTACGTGTTAGAGCTTCTGTTGCTACATCAATGCCGCAAAGCTTACACAATAAGGCTGAAAAGTTGGAGAAGTACAGGATTGGTGTGCTTGGCGCCAGTGGATACACTGGCTCTGAGGTAGCATTCATCTTCTTTGTGTTATGTGAGATTAATTATTACGGTACGTTTTTAGGATCAGTTTTCTGTTCTAGCATCCTAGTGATGATTTTGTTTAGGGGTTTTAATACACACACATATGTATATGTATATATTAATAATTTAACTAGGACTCTTCAACAAACCATCTCACAAGTCCACAACAATTCATAACTCAAAAACCTATTCATTGATGTGTGTTTGGCCCTATTGTAACTGCTGTTTGAAGCTTGTGGGCTCTACCTCTTGTAACTGGTTCCGGAACTAATATGATTGGATCAGCGTTTGTAGTGATGCTCAAATCAACATTATTAGTAGATGTATGCACTCCAAGAATGTGATAGCTTTTGAGTTACCATGCAGTGATTCACAAATATTAGTTATGCTTTCTTAAATTTACTGTGTTATTTTATTTTGGGTGCAGATAATCAGGTTGCTTGTGAATCATCCAAACCTTCAAATAAACCTGATGACAGCAGATAGGAAAGCTGGACAATCGATTGGGTCGGTGTTTCCTCATTTGGTAAAGCAAGTATGTGTTCTTCTATCTTAGGTTTTGCTCTTATTGTTGATCACACTTTTTTTATTGTATCTAAGCTTTTTGTTGAACATTGATCCTTTTATCATCTTTGATATTTAATTTTCCATTCTTGAGTTGAATCTTGAAGTCTTTGTATACATTTGATTCTACAGGACTTGCCAAATTTAGTTGCTGTAATGGATGCAGATTTTTCCACAGTGGATGCTGTGTTCTGTTGTTTGCCACATGCAACAACTCAGGTTACTTTATATATATATATATATATATATGCTTATGTGTATTAGGTCTCACAAAAATATATGCACACTAAAGAAATTGAATTTGGTTTCTGTTCTTTCATATGCTAATCTATTTGTCATCTTTACCATAAATTTGGCAGGAAATTATCAAGGGACTTCCAAGTAGTTTGAAGATAGTTGATCTATCTGCGGTACTTATGGTTTCTTTAATACTCTTAGTTCAAGTTTTAAGTGTTTTTATATCTCTTAAATTAAGAAATTTCTGGGTAATTTACTTTTTACTTGCTCACCATTATCTTATCCATCTTTTGCTATGCAGGACTTTCGGCTTCAAGACGTAAATGAATATGAGGAATGGTATGGTCAACCTCACAAGGCACCTGAATTGCAGGTTCAGATTTTCTTGTATCATGGTGTCTACCCTTTGCATTAATTTGTGAAGTCTGATTTAAGACTGCTACCTCCATCATGCCCCCCCTTCACAAGCACTACAAACAGGAGAGAAAAGCAGAGAACTTTTGATGAGTGTTCATTGTTCTGGTAAATGCAGAAAGAAGCCGTATATGGCTTGACGGAGATATATAGACCCGAGATCCAAGCTGCGCGCCTAGTAGCCAATCCGGGGTGTTATCCAACCTCTGTTCAGCTTCCATTAATTCCCTTGATAAAGGTTGGGTCTTGTATGCTTGTTAGTACTGATAAAATCTCATACGGCGTACATGGGGTTAACAATCTAATATATATCACGGTACTACAATATTGTGATCAGTCTTATCCTGAACTGAGTAGTTTGTCGTGTGCACATGAATTACAGAACTGACGTGAAATTTCAGTTAATTAATTTTCCTTGTATTGTTGGTTGGCCTAGGACTTACTGAACTTTCAAATTGCACTATTATTATTATTATTATTTTATTGTTTCTGTTATCCTAATTTGGATTATACCAAGATTAGTTTCAAATTGGGAATATGTTTAAATCTCATGATCTGATACTGCTTTTGACAAAAGTGGCATGGCAGTAAAAATGATTTTGTTTTACAGGCTAATCTCATTGAAGTTGAGAACATCATTATTGATTCCAAATCGGGTGTAAGTGGAGCAGGTTCGAACTTTGTGCACTTCTCTTACCTTTTAAGGAAAATAAACATTGATTTATTATTGATGAACCTTACAATGCAGGACGTGGAGCCAAGGAGGCGAATCTGTACACAGAAATAGCAGAAGGAATACATTCTTATGGTGTAACTAAGCATCGTCATGGTATGTAAAAAATGTATATATTTCTTTTCCCATATTTTGGAAATGCCTATTTTTTTAATTGTGATTATGATTATAATACAAGAATGATGTGATTTATAATTTCCAGTGCCGGAAATCGAGCAGGGGTTATCGGAGGCTGCAAAAGCAAAAGTAACTGTCAGCTTCACCCCACACTTAATGCCAATGGTAATATAGCATCTCTGTAATTAATTAAGTGGATCTTTTCTCTATTCTCACCCAGTTTGATTGTTTCTTTTTTCCCCCTCATACCCGTTAGTTTGATTGCTTTTTTCTTTACTCGCTCTGTTTCTTCAGAGCCGTGGAATGCAATCAACTATATATGTGCAGATGGCTTCAGGAACAACTACCAAAGATCTATATCAACATTTACAGAAAGTTTTTGAGGTACATGTCCATGATTTATTTGTCACAGGCAATGGTTTTTACACCCTACCCTAGTATGTTTATTTTGTTTTTTAGTTTTTGCTATTTGTTGACACGATAAATTTTGAATTAAATTACCAACTCATGAAATATAAAAGAATATAGTGTTAATAATCCTGTGTTCTCCTTTCAGCTGTGATTTACCTTCACATAAAGACTATTATTTACGAATCAAGGCCACACTTCATGTTTTTGGATTTTAGATGCTACCTAAGCAGAATCGACACATTACAGACTGTCTACATTTGGATATTGCATTTTTGTTGGTGGAAAAGTAACCATCAAATCGTTGTTGCTAGATCTAGCACGAAAGTTAAATATCGAGCCTTGGCTTAGCAACCAATGAGCTTTTTTGGATCAAACAATTACTTTTAAAACACAAGTTTGTCAATGTTCTGTAAATGAAAGCATTTTGTGATAATCAGGTTATGATGAATATTGTTTTGAATTCAGTATTCCCCTAGCGAACGAAACATAGCGAAATTGATGCTCAGTTTCAATGATGAGTTTGTAGTGCCCAGTTTATGCATATACATACTAATTTATATTTTGTATTCGGGAATGAATTGAATTGATTCCACATACAATGCCAGGTTATCCATTCTTGGTAAAATCCATTTCTTATATCATTGTTGTTTCTTTGCGCGTTCAGCATGAAGAATTCGTTGTTTTGTTACAAAGTAACGAAGTTCCCCACACCCGGCATGTGAGGGGGTCCAATTACTGCTTGATAAACGTGTTCCCTGACCGCATTCCCGGAAGAGCAATAATTATCAGTGTTGTAAGTTGGTTCTCATTTTTATCCTCCCCTATCCACGCGTATATACAAAACCTTTGTTTTAAATCCCGGCCGCTAACATGAATTCATGCTGTGCAGATCGATAATTTGGTCAAAGGTGCTTCTGGTCAAGCCCTTCAAAACCTCAACTTGATGATGGGAATTCCAGAGAAAACTGGGCTCCTTTCAGCTCCCCTTTTCCCCTAATATATATATATATATATGTGGGTGAGTTATACATACATATTGGCATTTTATTAAAGCAGCTGCAGTTTAATTTTATGTTTGTATGCATTTGTGCGTGTTTTGTCATTATGCTTTTTTTATTTTATTTTTTTTTTTTCAGGTTGAATTTTATCTTCAGAAGGGAAACAGCCAAACGCTACCGAAAACTTTTCAGCTTATATGGTGTAATTTATATAAGCTATAGTTAGCTGGCCACGAATCTTGAATTACAATAATGTTTTCTAGGCTATCTTATGTTAATATACGTTTTCTCGTCATAGATCATGTTTCTTCTTGTTGTAGACTCCGGAAGCTTTCGTATAAATTTATTTGGTGTTCATTCGACTAATAATAGTCGTAATTGAGAATTGTTGCAACAGGAATGGAAGAACTCGTGCTAGCGTTGATGATTCCCGACTTCTGAAGGCTGCAATAGCTATGGCTTTGTCCATTTCCCGTCTTGTGTCCATCGGTAAGCTTTGTAATGTTTTGAATGTAAAATTGATTTTTAGTATAATATAAAAAATTAAAAATAGGTGTTTGATTTGATATTTTTGGGGTGAAAAAATGGATGAATAGTGGATTGAAAAATAGGTGTGTTTGTTTGGGGGACTATTCATCTCAATTTTTTTTTTTCCAAAAATATCAAATCAAACATCTATTTTTTATTTATATTCAAAACATCGCGTCAACACCTATTTATAATACATCATACGGCTATTCAAATTCAAAAATTTTACTATTCAAATCAAAAAATTTTACTATTCAACTCCAAACTTAAATTCCAAATCTCCAAACAATTCTTATATCTCTTTCAGATTTTTCCTTCATTTGTGCAGTAGCTACAATAAAAATGCAGTTAATCTATAATAATTTTACTCCAATCATAAACTTCAATTTTTCACTCTAAAAAGTATATTCCATATATATTTCTCTTTTATATTATTTTACATAATTTGTTATATTTATAAATTACACTCTAATTTTAATTTATTTTTATAATATAATCCAAATATATATAATTACACATTATTTTTAAAAAATTATATAATTATATATCACTTTTCGAAAGATAAAATTATATATCATTTTTTAAAAAAATAAAATTATATATTATTTTTAAAAAATAAAATTACACAATATATTCTTAAAAAAATAACAAAAATACACAAATACCACACAAATTTCACTCCAAAAATGGAGTGGAGTGTACAGTGTTACTTCATATTTGTACAGTATTATTCTTTAGTAATACTGTAGCGGGCCTAAAAAAATGAGGGGAAGTTGGGGGTGGGTTGTATGTATCAATAATAATATTTTTATTTAAAATTTAAAAACATCTAGAAAAAAAAAAAAAAAAATGTAAACGCCAGCATTAATAGATTGTCAAGAGTATGACGTTATTATCATAATAATGGTATTTATTACAACATCACACACTGAATTAAATATCACCTAAAGTCAATCTTTTGCGTATTTTCGGGATATGTTTATTTGAGATATTTTTATATGTTTCATTAAATAATATTTTTTTTACAAAAAGTATTTTATTTTGTTTTATAAAATAACATAAAAAAATTATTGTTAAAATACAAACTATAAATATAAAATGCAAACACCATATACAAACAAATGAAATATGAAATACATTTCTTGAATCTTGAAATTATTATTACTGTTATTATTTGCTTTAACTATAATAAATATGTTGCCATTATATTTTCATCTTTTATTTTTTTCGAAGCTCTTTTATGTAGGACAATGATATTTTATATTAATTGATTTTTTAATTTTAATATTTTTTGTCGTCTAAAAATATTTTTCTTTCTAAATAGTTTTCTTTGTAATTTGTCATTATATCTTTGATAACGGAAATACTCCATTCGTCCAATTGAAATATTATCATTTTTCATTTTCGTCTGTCCCAAAACAAGGTTACCATTTTCTAATTTAGTAATTGTACTACCTACTTCACATAATAAATACCCTTTCAACTTACAATATATTACACAAATGTCATTATTTTTATATTACACCATACTAATAGGAATATTTTTGTCATTTTTACTACAATCTAATATAATACTAATATTCAAAAATCTACGTGCAAAAAGCAAATGTCACCCTTGTTGCGGGACGGAGGGAGTAGTATTTTCTCTATAATAAAACATATACTCCCTCTGTCTCTATACAATGGTCTTATTTACCATTTTTGTCTGTTTCAAAACAATAGTTTTATTTCCATAAATAATTATATCACCATAAAACTACCCTACTTTTTCATTGTTATTACACAATTGTTACTATTTTTTATTCTACTACACTCGTAAGGGCAAAAAAATCTTTTATTCATACTTTTTACCAACTACCAATATAATACTTCCTCCATCCCACTTACCATGTCCATGTTGCCGTTTCGGTCCGTCCCACATCTTATGTCACTTTCTTTTTTTTTTTTTGAAAAATGATTACCCATCTTAATTTTATTTTAAATTTTTCAATTTTCAATTTCTTTAATTTTAATTAAACTAATTAGTTATCTTAATCTTAATCTATAATGATTTATATTAAAAGTTAATTATTTTCATTAATATATTCTTAATTATCTACTAATTATACTTATCTTAAATTCTTGTATATACAGTGATCAAGACATCCAATGTGAGACGGATGTAGTATTAATATTCCTTAAATTTCGTGTCTAACCCAATTAAAACTATATTTATGATACGGATGGAGTATTATTTTTTTTGTCTAACATAAAAAAGTAAGGGTGTGTTTGTTTGGGGGTTTGGATGTTGAGTTAGTATTTGAATAGTAAAAATTTTGAATTTGAATAGTTTTGTGATGTGATATAAATAGATGTTGATATGATGTTTTGAATGTAAAATTAATTTTTAGTATAATATAAAAAATAAAAAATAGATGTTTGATTTGATATTTTTTGAGGAAAAAAATTGGATGAATAATGTAAATTCAATCCAATCCTCCAAACAAACACACCCTAAGTGTATTATTAATAAAAATAAAATAAAATAATGTACTATTAATTTTTACCACTCGTTTATTATAAAAACAAAATTATAGTATATTATATTAAAATTTCTTGCAAAAATAAATTTTTTTATGATATGTAATTATTATTTTGCAAAAACTGTTGTTTCTTATATTAAACCCTGAAGACATTAGTGATGGTAAATAAAACAATGCCATGGCATGCTGAATTAAATTCAACCTTATTGTTGAATTATACTCCGTCGGTCCAATAAAATTATATAAGTTTGATTAGCGCAATAATTAAAAATTATAATATTTTAATATTAAAATAAAATAAATTAAAATTAAAATAATTTATAAAAAATATTAAATAATTGAGCAAAGAAAAAAAAGTAGTGATAAAATTATTACTCTCTCTCCGTTCTAATGCAGTAGTCTTATTTATCATTTTTGTTTATCTCAAAATAATTGTCACTACTTTTTACACTAATACACTCACAAGTTTTTTACCCATTACCCATATAATATCAATATTTCTTAAATTCCGTGTCAAACATAACTCTTGACTATAATTTTGGGATAGAGGGAGTATTATTTATTAACATAAAAGTAATAAATTATAAATGAATAAAATTAGTTACCGTGCAAATTCAAATCTCACATTTAAATATGTGAAAAAAATTTAACTTTTTAAATCTCACTAGTATGAGGTCTTTTGGAGCAAATTCAAAAACTAATTTATATAAGATCAACCTAAAGCGAACAATATCATACTTAGTGTTTGAGAAAAAAAAAATATACATTAATGCACTATGGACGAAAATAAAAAGATGTATACATTAATACTACCGAACATAAAAGTACAATATTTTATTTTATAAAATATTAAATTCAAATTTTATTTAAATTCAAATAAAGGCAAAACAAACCCTGGATTCATGGGTCTCATTGTATATTTTATATTTTTATATATTCGTATTTTTCTCAAGCCATTTTGTATGTTCTTGTCGTTTGGTTAGATGTTAGGATTTTCATTTGTGATCGTATTTTAAATAGAAATTAATATTATTCACCTTATACAGCTTTTAATTGAAAATATATATTTTTTTTTTCGTCCCGCATTAAAATGTAAATTTACTTTTGGTGTGAGATGTAAAAAAATAATACTTCCTCCATCTTAAAATAATAGGACATTTGGGATTGACACGAGAATTAAAAAATAACAGTATTATATTGACAGTATGGTAAAAATATTTCTAAAAGATCAAAATATTTTTACTTTATGTAATTATTGTAAAAAAATTAAAGATAATTTTGTAAAAAAGGGAATCAATGACAAAAAATGGAAATTGAACTATTGTTTTGAGACAGTAAAAAATGACAAAATAGAACTATTATTTTTGGACGAATGGAGTAATATTTTAACGATAATGGATAGTTAAAAGTATGTAAAGACACTTTTGTCATTATTTTTTCTGTGTAAAAATAATAATATAACAGTAAAATAATAGTATTTGTAGAAAAATAGGTCCATAATTAGTAAAGAAAAGAAATAAATACATTAATACCGGACAAACGAAAATAAAAATATATATATTAACATGGGACAGAATAAAATAATATATACTAATGCAAGACAGAAGAAGTATTGTTTTTCTGATAAATATTAAAATTAAGATACTATTTAAATAAAAATTCAAATAACTATCTTATTTCAAATCATTTTCGAAAGGCAACAAAACAAATTATTTGTTGTTGAATGATTTTCACACAGGAACTCATCTTCTATCACCATTGTGGAATAAAATTCAATAAAATAATAATAAAGCTAAATTTTAATATAAATTTTGATAAATATTCTTAAACATTAATATTCCCACAGTCTCATTAACAATTTATCTATTTTTTTTTTTATTTTGGTCTGTCCCATAACAAAATATCTATATTTTTTTTAGTAATTGTACCATTTATCTAACATTACAAATATTCTTCCAATTTATAATATATTACACAATTGTTATTACTTTTATATTATACAATACTAATAGAGTTAATTTAATCTTTTTATCTTTATTTTTACTTTATTTTAATATAATATTAATATTTTTAAAACTTTGTAAAAAAACAAATGGATATATAGATATGAGACGGAAGGAGTATATATATTATATATACATCCATCAAATTTATGCATTTTTTTCTATTGATCCAAAAAAAATACTTAATTTTTTTTTTTTATCAAATAATTTTTATCAAATCAAATAATTTTTATCCAATCTAAAAACTATTTTTATCAAATCAAATAATTTTCTCAAAAAATATCAAATCAAACATCTATTTTTTATTTTTTATATTATATTAAAAATATCACATCAACGCCTATTTATATCACAT